AGGCCCATAGCATAATTATAAAAACTTAAACTATTTAATTCGTAGTGCAGATGTGTGAGCTGTGTCTGTGTTCTATGCATGTCTACTCGTAATACTAAATAATAAATATTGTCTCTTAAGTATTTTTTAATTTTGTAAATATCATTCCAATCTCTCACCATGGACCTTATTATAAATAAAAAAACAGGTTTGTTAATAAATATTTTATTCATTAGTCTAAGTTCAGCGGCCGCGTCGGTGTAAACGGTAAATATCCCAATGCGTCCGCCATGTTGGCAGTTCTCCAGCTGCCGGCATTCCGTGTAGTAAACATGCATAACCATGTGCTCAGCATTTGATGTTGTCATGGTGTTGCTTGTTCATGTCAATTATATTAAATGATATTGACGCCATTGCAGACTCAAGTGATATGGGTCAGATTTACTGCTAAAGAAGTAAAAAGTACCTAGTGCTATTCTGTGAGAAATTTATGTAACTCGATAGCTGAATCCATGAACGTATTTCATAAATCATACTTGGAGTACTTCCGCTGATTCAGCTGATGAGTTACACGAAAGTGCTTACAGAATAGCACTACGGCTACATATAATAAATATTTACATACATATGTATGTAAGTTCCAATTATTAATGTATTATTTGTTACTTTAAAGCTAGCTATCCCTTTCTATGGGATAGCTATCTAAATACAATTAGACGGCAATATTTTATTTAAAAGTAGTCAAGCTCAATCAATTCTGGTTCAAATCTGGTTCAATACGCGAGCTCGCTATTGAAAATCAATAGACACGCAGTATCGAAGCGATGTGATTCGGGCCTTTGTACACGCAATATATGCATAAAGAAGAAATATGAATACAAATTATTGTTATGCTTTCGTTTTATAATAAATTACAATTTTTATTTAATTAGACGTGTATTGTGGTGATCACCTCGATCTACAATTAATTTAAGGCTTAGTGAATGAAGGAAGTAGATAAACAGAGTTTTTAGATGATTTTTATTTTTCTAGTGACTTCAAACAATATCCACCAGATTAAACAATTTTGCGTAGAAAATCGTTGAATGTATCGTTTATTTGACCTAAAATATGTGATCGTATTGCGTGTTATTACAGTAACTAATTTTAACAATGTTTGTACTTACTTTATTTTGTTAAATTAGTAAAAAGTAATAAGTGACACAGTTTTTTTTAAACCAATATATTTTGAGGCGATATATTTATATTCCATATATGTATATGTACATCTATACATATAATAAAATTGTAACTAAGCCAAATCTGTACATTAAATATTTTTTGGAAAATCTTATTGAAATAGACATTATTATCGATGCAGACGCCGAATCTATAGTTTTTAGAGTTTTTGTCTGTCTATCTGTCTGTCTTTTACCACATTACAGAAAAACTACTGGAGGGATTTTGATGAAATTTGGTATGGTGATAGATCGTTATCCGGGTCCAACATATAGGATACTTTTTACCGCGGGAAAATGTCTCATTTCTGAGAAAAAATACAAAAACTTCAATGTAAGAATATACTAATATGTAAAACCTAAGAATTTGGTTTTTGGTCATCTGAACGCGGGCGTAGCCGCGGGCAATGCTAGTATAATATATAAATGATGGTCTCTAGTAAAACTTTAAGCTGTAGATAAGCTATCAGGTACATATGTAACATATGAAAATTGTATATAGGTACATATTCCTATATAGTTAAATACTAATCAAATAACCCATGAGTGTAAATGCATTCTCATCAGCGGTACATTTACGGATGCTGATTGTTTATGAGTGAAGATAACACGGATCTGTGTCACACTGTGTATTGTAATGCACTCTAGATAAGAGATGAACTAGCACACTATAAGTTCTTGTAAATGCGCATAAGCTTAAGCTTGTAAAATTAGATAAGGGGCTACCCTCATATAACTTTTCATTTATTAAAAAGGCGACTATACAGTTAAATTTATTGAAATTATACTTTTTTATATATTTTAAACCTTATTATATCGCCAAATTCAAAAAAAAATATTAAGGAACGTTTGTGTGCCAAAGGCTATTATACAATAAATGATTTTATAGATGGATGGCACGCTTAGGAATGAAATGATCGCCTCCAGGCTACTTCAACTTGATAGAAATATTGTAAATTATAATTTTACTTTAAAAAAAGATAACAAGTCAATATTAGTCCCGCTGAGTTTCTTTCGCCAGTTCTTCTCAGGTCTGAGGCTTCTTCTTTCCGAACTGGTAGTAGACTCATGACGTTCAGTAAAAAAATTTTGATTTGATTTATATTGTCAGTAATGTGGTTTATATGGATTCAATATAATATAAGAAATGTTCTGTAATCATATTTTTATTACACTGTTTTTCTAAGGAGTATGGAAATTACACATATTTTTTCAACGTCCTCTATATATTAAGAGTTCTTTTGAAATTATTTTCTCAAATAACATGTTTATATTAATAAGAAAATACGTCTGTGATATAAAGATACAGAAATATTTTTCTTATTCGAGAATTTCTCATAGCAGAACACTTAGTTAACTTTTTTTTTTTGGTCTGGAACGGAATTCCACTAGATAGAGAACAAAACTCGTCTATCTAACAATTACGATTACATAAAAAAAGTTTTCTTCAAAATAGTGTTATATTTAGAAAATCATGTACATAACGTTTTACATGCCGTAGGATGTTTTAAAATTAGTAGACCTGACGTATATTCTAAGAATCCATTCGTCTTATTAAATGCAGTCGATGGCGCGTTGGTATGCGCTAATGTCTAAACAATTTTAAAATAATGCTTAATGCGCGACAAAGCTCGTAGTTGAGTATTTTTTATTCATTGATTTGTTTGAATGGTTCCTTTTCTTTAAAATAAATATTCTCTTTAATCTTATAATGTTATTTCGGAAAGTGTATAAATACGTGAATAAAAATGACATTGTAATTATTAACTACATATAGCAAATTCTAAAATTCATACTAATATTATAAATTTTAAAGTGTTTGTTTGTTTATTTGACCTTCTTTCACGTCGAAACGAAGTGACAGATTGGCAAGATTTTTTGTTTTTATATAGCTGGAGAGCTGAAGAGTGACATAGGCTACTTTTTATCGCGGGAGATTATCTCATTCACACGGGAATCATCACACCACACCACAAACGCATGAAACAAGACCCAAAAAAACTTATGTAACGTTACTTGAAACATAGTATTAGTGCTCTTCAATACAATTAAATAAATAGGTGTTTTAGCATTTTTTAAATTCATCATTTAAGGGGGCTAAAATAGGGGATGGGTTTTAGCGCGAACGAAGCCGCTGGTTCTGCTGCATAAAACATTTGTCTAGTCTAGAATATAATTTCACAAAGTACACGAATTAAAAATACCACTTACTTAAATATTCAAGTTCAATTGTTCATCCTATATTTATTCGTAGATTTTAATATGTTTGACTCATAATTTGAAAAATTAATACAAGATTCAAAACATACATCAATCAACCTGTGATATTTTCGTAGATGTACATCTATAAGTAAAATTGTACAATAACGCTGCACAAATAACAAACGAATGCTTTCATTATGTATTGGCGTCAGAACTTTGCCCGTTTTCTCCGATGTGAAAATTGAAAAATGTTTTTTTTCCCATCATTCTTGCTTATTAGGCCACTGATAATGCCACGATGTAATAATTTCTGCTGCTTATTGAGGTACTAATAAAATGTATCATATTACAATTTCGTATTATGTAAAATGATAATTTATTTATTTATTATACAAAATCCACTGCTAAACCTTAACATATAAAATACACAGATGTTGTCTTTACAGAGGCCATAAGTTGGATTTACACTATTTATGCAAATAACTAAAAATTATTTTCATTTTCAAAGTAGTCCTGTTTCATTCATCATACTATTATTTAAAGCATATTTTCTACCGTTTTTTGTTCTATTGCGTATAAAAACAAATAAATTCAAGGTAAACATAGCTTCAACGGAGTTTCTTAGAAGCCTCATTTAGTTTGATAATATTTAATTGTAAGTACCTACTGGGCCAAAATGATAACGTTTAGTCTAGACTCGGTTTGCAGTTTTCCTATTACGTGTCACCTTGCATGGCAGCAAAATATCATAAAGTAAAGACATTGGGTTGATATTACACTGTCTACTGTAAAAGATTGATGCGACATTGGTGGAAGTTGTTCCGTTGTATATTGGTCAATAGTGTTGGTTTCAGGCGTGACGTAAATGTGCGCGCGCATCTTCCATCTCGTTCATGCTCCTTTGACCTTTAGAACAACTCTCTGCTAAGCAAATCTTTTGAAAAATATTATACAGGCTATTTCAGTATGGAAGTTTCATAACATGAGAAATGCTAGGTAAAACGATCCTAAGTCGTATTCTTATTCATTTAAACTCGCTCGTTGGATTGTAATGTTATTAGTACATTTCATATAAACCAGGTAGAAATTGATAAAAAATGTTTCCCGTGCATTTCAAATATATTTGTACTTACTATTAATAAATAAATTATTATAAATCACTGTTACTCATTTTATTCTTAATTTAATTTATTAAAATTAATTTATTAAAGCACAATTTAATATGCCATTGTAATTGTACGAGTACAAATTATACACTAGAATCAGAGTCAATTAACAATATATTAAACAACGTCCATGAATGATTTCGTTCGTTTGATTGTACATATGTTTACCCGAAAAAGTATTTACAGAGGTTGCGTGTTATTTGTTTTTCATGATAGTTTTTTCAGAAATGTCTTGGAAAATTAAGTAGGTATGTAATAAAACTAGAAGGTATCATATAGAAAAATGCTATTTCACACAAAATATTTGCACGTAACCGTATTTGCGGTCTGTATTCCACATTTTTTATTATTGAGAGTGCAAAAACTTAAATATTTCATAAGCTTCTTAATTAAATGTATTAAAATCCTTATTAACCAATTGCCATTATCTTTTCAGAGACAGTCATCAACTAGATTTGCCTTCATTTGGGCACTATGCAACTGGTATCTTCTTTCTCGATAAGCTTCATCATCAAGACATCGAGAAGAAGTTCCAAGAACTCGCCGAGAGCCTTGGCCTTCGCGTGATTTGCTGGAGAACTGTACCAACTAATAACTCTACCATTGGTGAGTCATCGAGGATATCCCGTCTTACATTTGTTTAATGTTGACTAGAAATAGATGAAGCAAAATTTAGAAACATTTAATACTAAAGCCAATACCAATTTCATAAATTTCTTCATTTTGCATTAAAATGTTAACAGTTGAATTACTCTAATAATAATCTTGTAGAGTTATCATATTTTTCGTTAAACTTATTTAAATGATGTGCGATATTTTTATGAGTTCCTTTCACATTATCGCGTTAAAAATTATATAATAATTTTAAAGTAATTATTTTTTGAATATAATATTAACTATTTTATCAATATTTATATTATGGTAATGAAAGCAACTCTTAATGTATAATTATTGTCATTTTATTTTGTCAATCAAACGTTTCGATCACCATCATCGAACATTTGTCCAGCTTGTTTGTGCATACGGGCAGTTTGCGATTTGCGGCTATCATTCCAGGTCGTACACGTAGTCTAAGTCGGTTGGGTCGTTAACGCGGCCGAGCGGTCTTGCGATGCTTGACCATACGGTTTGTTTAATTTAAAAATATGAAACGGCAGGAGAAACTCGTTCAATACTCGGTTCTCTCTCGATTTATGCTGCGGAAAATAACAGTTATCGCTATAACCGTTTTATAAAACTATATAATCAAGTTATTTATATAAGAGTAAAAGTACATTTTAATTGCAATATTTTAAGGGACCATATATTGATGTTGAATTCGATAAGCTAGGCAACCGGTTATTTGGAATGTTAGTATTTCATTTACGTCGAGGATCGATCGAGTTTTTCTTGCTATATTTGGAAGAAATTTTCATTAATTTGCACCAAATGTAAACACGCATTCTAGTTAGACCACTAGTTTTTTGCGATGCAAATTGATGGAAATATTGCTTGTTATTGAGGTGCCATGGCGCGGACTCTTAACGGCCACTTGCTATGTTTCTTGATTATTATTATTGATATATCTATTACAGAACATATTATTATTCATTATAAAATAAATGCGAGTCACATACATTAAAGTACGAGTCCGTGCCAAGAGATTTAAGAAGTAATTATATCTTTGTGATTAGCTTGAGATGTGTTTTATAAAACTTTAAAATGTACATAATTTATTATGTATTACAAACAAAATACGATAATTAAAATCTCAAGTTAAATAAATGATTTAGATTTACTACGCTTAGATGGTAAAAAAAAAAACAAATAATGTGACTTAAATTGTAATGTACATTGTACACTATTGGAGCAAGATTAAGATAATATTTTTTAATGAGTCAATTTAATAAGAAAATTGTAACATTACAGCTTCTGTAACAAACATTATAAATATATTTTCATAATTACCATCGGAGCGCGTTGCCTTATAGTATCATTTAGGTTTTCATAGTTTAATAAATGATAAGGGCGATGAAAAGATCAGTCAGTAATGGCCTTATTTGACTCGCTTTCAGGTCAGGTGGCTCGTAACTCGGAGCCATATATGCGTCAAGTGTTTGTTACCGGAGATATCAGCGACGAAAACCAACTCGCACGTCAGGTAAGACATGGACGCGAGATGTCTAAATCGGAACGACTAATGTTAACAAACCTGAGTATGAACTCGCAATAGTATCGTAAATTGCGATTTCAAACTCGTTATATATATTTTCTTTAGGACCCAAAGCACTCTTGAAGCATTTTTTTCAGATCGTTGTTTCGCGCCAGCGCTCCGAGGAACTTCGCTCGTCGTTGAAAACGTAAATTTAAACGTACCGTATATATATATGTATATTGCAAATTAATTTCGTGTGTTTCTTTGTCCTTCGATTTGTGGAATAGTATTACGCTGTTCGCAGATTTTCGTGTTGCGTAAACGAGCGTCTCATGAGCTAGTGGTGCCGGGAGCACGTTTCTACATTTGCAGCTTGTCATTGAGGACTGTCGTATACAAGGGTCTTCTCACTTCAAACCAACTATGGGTAAGTTTAAATTAACTGCATAAAAGTTAGATTTACGTAGAAGAATATAAAATTTTACATTTTACTAATGCTTATTTTTTTATATTTATAGGAATATTTCAAGGATTTGAGCAACCCAGCTTTTACCACCTATTTGGCGTTAGTGCATACTCGTTTTTCGACCAATACTTTCCCCAGTTGGGAACGTGCGCATCCTTTGAGGTAACATTACTGATATATTGAAAATGAATTCAAGATAAATGGATACGGTATAATTATTTCATATGTTTGTTCTCAGAGTGCTTGCCCACAATGGCGAAATAAATACGTTACGAGGTAATGTAAACTTGATGAAGGCTCGTGAAGGAGTTATGAAAAGCGAATTGTTCGGAGATGGTAAGCAATATGCCTTATAACAAAATATCTAATAAATTTTATTATTTCAAACCAATATATAAATTTTCATAATTGCAACTTCATTTCAGATCTCAAAAAGCTGTATCCCGTAGTGGAACCAAACCTTTCCGATTCGGGTTCAGCTGATTGCGTCCTCGAGTTCCTCATGCATTGCGGTAACAGAACTCTCCCGGAGGCTGTCATGACGATGGTCCCCGAGGCCTGGCATAATGACCCGACTATGCCTAAAGAAAAGAGGGATTACTATCAGTGGGCCTCATGTGCGATGGAGCCCTGGGACGGACCCGCCCTCGTGTCGTTCACTGACGGACGGTATATCGGTAAGTTTCGTAACAAACTAAGATGTTTTTTTTTATTACGATCATGTAATGGGTTTGAATTGCGTCTCAAATATTATTATTTTATTTCTACCACAATAGAGTATGCCTGAGTGATAGGAATTTGTGAAATTGATTTTTTTTAATTAAAACATATTTACATGCTCTAATAGATATTAAACGTAAAAATAATTTTATATTATATAAATATAAAATAAATGCTATTCGTTGGCAAGGCGGCATTTTTTAAGTGTTAAAGTCCGAGTTCGTTCTTGGTGAAAAAATGGCCGGAAAATTGGAAAATTCGCACTAAACTAAGTTCTTTTCTCTACGATTTTGTATCACCTCGAATCATAAATAAAATTGCATTGGGACATGACAGCGTCTGTCGTGACAATAAATAATAACATGTGTAAACTAAAAACAGCGTTATTTGGACATGATCAATGGCTATCGAAAACATTCTTATAATTAATCATGGTAAAATAAAAAGGTTTTTTTTTTTAAATCAAATATCATTTTTTGTGACAGGTGCTATATTGGATAGAAACGGTCTGCGTCCGTCTCGTTTCTACGTGACGGACGAGAACGTACTCGTGATGGCGTCTGAAGTCGGCGTCTATGACGTCGCCCCCGAGAAGGTCATACACAAGGTCAGCACTGACTATTTACCATTGAATGTTGAATGAATTCTGATTGTTTTATAATTTATTTTTATATCTGTTGGATTTGTTTACATGTTTTATTTTAAATTATATGTCCATCAACATATTTTTATAATACACTAAATATGTTGCTTTTAATTTTTAAATAAATATTACATAATAATACACTATTATGATTTAAAAAAGATAAGGAGCGATATTTTTACTGTTAAAATAAAGTAATAGTTAAATTTGGAAAATATCACGGAATTGTAATTGTTACACACAATGTAAATATTTTCTAAGATTCGAAGACTGTTTTTATGGAGTACTCTAAAAGCTTGGCATTGCCTACTGGGCGATAACATCAAATTTGTGTTGATCACAACCATGAAGGTTAAGTTTAATATACTACGATGACAAGTATCATCACTCATCGATGAGATCAAGAGTGTAGTGACTTTGATATATAATTTAATATAATAATATGATTAATCCAAAATGTTATTTGTGTCAACAGAGTCGTCTAAAACCCGGCCGTATGTTGTTGGTGGATACACAAGATAAGAAAATTATTCAAGATGTCGAACTCAAGCTGACAATTGCTCAAAGCAGACCTCACTCCCAGTGGCTAAAGGAACAGGTATATTATAATATATTTACTATTAAATATTATACTTTGTTTACTCGAGTACTATTTTTATGGGTTTTTTTTTCACTTTTTTGATTTTCAATAGAGGAATTTAAAAATCGGACTTAAATGTGAAATGACTAAAATAGTATTATTACAGTATTAAGTATGTTTTTATATAAATTACATACTTAAAAATTATTTCCATGCTGCGTTTATTGGGATGTTTTTTTTCTTAATCACCTAACAGATGGTGAGTAGAACAAAATGAAATTATTATGATAATGTATATAATAGTATATATTTCAAAATAAGCTTTAGAATACGTTAAATGACTACAACAGATTTTTTTACCTATGAAATAAAATAATAACTTATAACTAGCACGAAGAGATTTTACAGAGATAGAGAGATAGGCATTATGAATAGGTTAAACATTAATTTCGATATTACTAACTCCAAAATGATGAAACATGAATGATGACTGATGTGTTAAATAGAAAATCAACTTCTATTTAACCCCTTCGTGGAATGAATTTTCAAAACTTCTTAGTTGCTACTTTAGCTATATATAAGAAATCGTAATTTTTTTCATTTCATTTCTTCAATAACCGCAATATATTATTACCTATTGAAAACAGATAACAATGGAGGACATCCACAAATCACTGCCGTCGTCTGAGGTCGCGGCTAACGGCAACAACACGGCGGTGAGCGGTCTCGGCGACCCGCGGCTCGGACTCTTCGGGTACACCATCGAGTCCATCAACATGCTGCTGCTGCCCATGATACAGCAAAAGTTAGTTTTCTTTTAGTTATGCTCGTTTTAGAAATTAAAATAATACGCTTTCGATCAATTTTAAGTGATCGCCTCCAGGCTATTGCAATTTTATAGAAATATTGTAATTTATAACATAACTTTATAAAAAAGATAACGAAAGTTCCATTGAGTTTCTTTCGCCAGTTCTTCTCAAGTCTGAGGCTTCTTCTTTCCGAACTGGTAGTGGACTCATGACGTTCAGTAAAAAATTGTAACAATTTAATGCTGAATAAAATATTTTGTATTTGAATTTACAATTGTGTGATACATACTTGTCATGTCGAAAACATGAAAAAATATATGTTTCTAATGACATTTTTCCATTTGGCAAAATAGTTTTGAACTACTTTCAAATTGATTTTTTTTAATACAATGATATAAAGCGAGTAGTACAAATTATTGGCTATATTGACTGCCCGATTTCAAAATGTTACCTACATAAAATTAATGTTGTGTTGTTTATAGCTAAGTAAATGTCATTTTGAGAAATAAATGAATGTTATAAATCAATTTAAATGTATGTTCCCAACAGAAAAGAGGCGCTAGGCAGTATGGGCAACGACGCGCCGCTCGCGTGCCTGTCGCGCTTCCAGCCGCTGCCCTACGACTACTTCAAGCAGCTGTTCGCGCAGGTCACCAACCCGCCCATCGACCCCTTCCGGTAACTATACTTCACTAGCTTGGGCCCTCGACCCCTTCCAGTAATTGTACTTTAATAGCTTGTGCCCTTGACTCTTGAAATTTTAAAATAAAACTAACTTTTCGGATTATTCCACGGATTTATATATAGATTTTTGGTTCCAAAAACTAAATTAAATCAAAATGGGAATATTCGCTTAAATCTAAGAAAGTATTGATACCGCTAAAACACAAATGCTATATAAGATATATGTATATCTCTTTCCAGTGAGAAAATAGTGATGTCGTTGATGTGCCCCATCGGCCCCGCCGCCAACATCCTGCAGCCGGGGGCCGACTTCGTGCACCGCATCTTCCTGCCCCAGCCGATACTCTCCATACCCGACCTGGAGGCGTTGAAGCGCACTACATTTCGCGGATGGAGGGTACGGATGAAATCTATATTTATGTATATTTTTTTATTATTTTAAATCTCAAATACGAGCAAGAGATTTTTGAAGTTATACTTCTTTCGGGTCGTTTGGAAAAAAATATGAGAGTAAAATTTTTACTATTCGCGCGCACACCGAAATTTAGTTGATAATTATTTGTTGTCATGGTAACCATTGTTATTGTCTGAAAAATGATGTATAATATTTATTATTTCTTCTACAAACAGAGAGTTGTGGCATACGGGATGAAATCTTTAGCCATTTTTGTTCTGTTACACCAAAGAAGTATAACTTCTTACGTGCGTGCATAATTACACACACACTTTTTTTTTGTTCTCATTTAATATTTAATGAAGGAGATCGCATATCATTGAAATGAACGGTAACCATAAACGTTAAACAATACGTCAAAAGCATGGTGTATTGGTTAACGCTTATGGTTACTGGTTTACTATAAAAAAATTAAGTATTTTTTTTCTAACAGTTTTATAAGTCACGAAAACTACTTGATGAACTGTAATGTCTGGCCCATAATGTCTATGCAAAAATTCTCGTCTATCGATGATATAAAAATAATTAGCTATGAATAAAATAGTTACCTTATATAAACCAAGCCCATACAAGGTTTATCTATAATAATGTACGCTATAATAAGTCATATAATTATTAATCGTTTAAATTATTGAATAAATTCAATGTCGTGGTTGCTTTGCATAGCACGTTTATTAATATTGATAGGTATATTTGTATTCCTTAAGTAATAATTCTCTAAGGAATATTTGTGTCCATCCAATCTATATGTAACAAGATACATGCCACTTTGCTGTATTGCGCACTATCAGAAAACAATGAATAAATTGACCGTAACTGAGACGATTCTTTTGTATACCTACTTATGCGTAACAATACGTCAATAACGATGAATGTTTATTATTTTGTAATTTCAATGAATTTGTTAGTGGGATTTTAGTTCATTCGTTTTGAATAATAAATTAATCAAATCGGTTCCGGCGAGTTTTCTTAAGTGATGCGCTTATAAGCAACAGTATTTGATTTTTATTTATGAAGGGGGCATTTCACGTGAAACGGACAACGAAATCAGTGAGGTTCTGAAATTCGTTCATATTAGGCATGTTTGTAGCTCTAGTAGGGGATATGGACATGTACAGTACACATATTTTTTTTTATTTGAGATTTAGTTGTCAAGTTATGGGATTCCAAAGAATCGATCAAATTGAAGAAAGGGTTTTTTTGGATGCTTATTTCATGTTCAAGTAATTAGAAATAAAATGATAAATTTAGTGTTCTCTATAAAAATTTTACTGTTCTTTAATCTTTTTGATTTTTAGTCAGATTTCAAATTTGAATTATTATTCTAGTGTTAAACCGCAAGTAAATATTTTAAATAAAAAAATAATAACTTCGATCATTTTAATTTTTATTATTTTTACTGCAAAAGTAAGCTTAATATATATTAATTTTATCATAAAAATTACAGGATATGATCTTAATTAGTTTAGGAGATAAATCAATTACAGTACGTACCTGTCCCACTGAGCGAGGTAAGGCTGGCGCTTGTGAAAGCCGGCTAGTTGATATGAAGACATTTAAACGTTTATTATATTTCAATAATATTGATTATGTATTGTTTGTCTACCTATTTTGTGTCATTTTAAGGGTATTTCATATCTTAATAAAAAAAAATAGTTCACACAATAATTTCTATTTAAGCACTAGGGTCTGGACTAAGCGGAGCCCGTGTCTCAGACGCCTCTCTGTTATACAATTAAATATTCATTAAGCTGATAAATAGAGTGATATATAATAATAGAAATATTATACTTTATAGAGTGTATACAATTGTAATTGTGTGTGTGTGTGCAGACGCAAATAATAGACTGCACGTTCCCGACGTCGGCGGGCGCGCACGGGCTGGAGGCGGGGCTGTCGCGCGTGGCGGCCGAGGCCGAGGCGGCGGCGCGCGGCGGCGCGCAGCTGCTCGTGCTGTCCGACCGCGCCGCGGGGCCCGCGCGCGTGCCCATGTCCTCCCTGCTCGCGCTCGGTACGTACACACACACACACACGCACACACCTCACATATACATACACACACGTTTTAATTTACCTATTTAAACTGTATTTAATAATTTACTTTAAAATAACAAAATATTTTAAATTCGATAGTATTTTATGTTTGCTAAGGTGTCTTTAACAAAATAATTCTTCTTAAATTTTTTTCATTACAACTTTCATTAAAATGAGCAAGAACAGTTTTTTAAATAATAGCCAACAAGCTTTACAATTTGTATGTTCTTTTAGGTGCTATCCATCACCACTTGATTGAAACGCGTCAGCGTATGAAAGTTGGTCTTTTAGTGGAAACTGCCGATGCAAGAGAAGTTCATCACATGTGCGTGTTGCTTGGTGAGTATATATATTCTCGTATATAAAATTAAAAATAAAATAATCCTATTATTTTAATAAATAATACAAAATATTAAAAAAAAACCTTACATAATAACTGACTTTAAGTGAAAATAAATAAAAGTTACGTTCACTCTGTAGTGTCTTTTTTTAATTTATATGACTTTTTTGTTTTACTATCTAAGGGATCTACCAAAATGTAGAATAATTTAAATGTACCATTATATTGTGAATTTTATTTTCATAAGAAAGTATAGTAAATATATTTAAAAAAATGTCACTTTTAATAGGTTACGGCGCAGACGCAATCTGCCCATACTTGGCGTTCGAGCTGGCCTTCTCCCTGCGCAACGACAATCTTATAGACCCCAATTTAACCGATGAAGAAATTTACTTGGCTTACCAGAAGGCCATCGAGACCGGCCTCGCCAAGGTCATGGCCAAGATGGGCATCAGTATGCTACAGTCGTACAAGAGTGCTCAGATATTTGAAGCGGTCGGTCTGAGTGAAGAAGTCATTGATAAGTGCTTTAAAGGCACTCAGTCTAGAATTGGTAAGTTCTAAAAATTGTGTTATTATATTTGTATATATCTAGAAAATTTCTTATATTTTTGTTCTTTTTTATCCTTGAGTTTGACTTAAGATTTGTGTTTTGTTTGCAGGTGGCGTTACGTTTGAGATTTTATCTAAAGAGACGTTTGACAGACATGCATTAACTTACGGTGAAAGTAAAGACATGCTAGTGCTGAGGTAAGCATATTCATATAATGATTTAAAACTGACCCACACCCTGGTCATGTCGGGTAGCTTGTTTTCAATTAACTCCCGAAAAATGTATTTCATGAAAAAAATCCATGAAAACTTGAAGTTTGTAGTCAATATTGAACCACCAAGTATTCATTAAACAAAATAATTACAGGAACGAGTATCGGGGTCTAAATAGCGACAATCTCTTGCAACACAGATCCAGATTACATAATACTTTCTTAGATTTACGCGAATGTTTGAAATTTTTAAATAAAACTATCTTTTCGGATTATTTTGCGGATTTATCTTGATTTTTGGTTCCCGACGTCGGGAATCCACGAAATAATCCGAAAAGATAGTTTTATTTAAAGATCCAGATTAATTAACTCCTTTTTGAAGTCAGTCAATGAACAAGAACATATACTAGTGATTTACTTTCTACCCTCGCTTCACTCGGGTTCGTTCTTAGGTACCCAATAGAAGCCGATAACTCCAGATCATTTCTCAAAGGAGTAACAAACACACATACAAACATTCGCATATATAATGCCAGATACGCACATTTGCCACAACTTCAAACCTCTACAAACACTTGGCTAAATTGGCTAATTTTGAAGAGAAAACATCGATATCCACACTTGTGTGCTTCGGAGGACGTTAATCTTGTTTAGTCTATTACACACTCTTTTTTTATAATATTGTATACTAGCAAATTCCACAGTACATTGTTTTCATATAATGTTATATATTGGTTTATGCGGTGTACGCCAGTAAAACTTCCAGTCGACATAATGGTCATAATTCAGCCAATTTACACAACCTTAATGAATTATACACCAAAACCTAATGAATCACTCCACTCCGTCCATTGGTTAAAACCGTATGAAATTCCGTTTGATAGTTTTTGAGTTTATCCCGTTCAAATTAACGGATAGACGCGACAGGCGAATTTTATTTTTAACCGACTTCCAAAAAGGAGGAGGTTTTCAATTCGTCGGAATGTTTTGTTTATTTATGTATGTCGGTGGTAGCACCGACTTCGAAAATATCTGATTAGGTATCTATTCTAAATGTAAACCTTCGTTTAGTTATTTTTTACATTTTAGTGCCTGGTAGTCGTTTTTTTTTAAGTTTAATATAATACTAGCGACACTCCCTCGCTTCGCTCGGGTTCGTCCCTAAATACGTTTTAATTTTTTTGAGCGCAACTCTTATTCTTTTTCTAAAATAAAAGTACCTATGTTACTCCCTATAACATCAGCTATCTTCCAGTGAAAGTCCCGTCAAAATCAGTGAGTCGTTTCAGAGATTATCCGGAACAAACAGACAGACAAAAATTTTAAAATCTTGTTCTTCTTATAAGTACCGTATATAATTTCATATGCGTTTAGTAAAAAGTGTTTTTTTGACATTACAAACAGACGTTTCAATTTTATTTATCTGTATAGATTAAACATATGTATGTATATTGTGACAGGAACCCCGGCAACTACCACTGGCGCGCGGGCGGCGAGAAGCACATCAACGACCCCATGTCCATCGCCAACCTGCAGGAGGCCACGCTCGCCAACAGCGCCTCCGCCTACGACCGATACAAGTATGTCCACCCTCGCCGTTGTTCACTGCGTTATACTAATTTGCTAATTTGTACTCGTGGATTTTTTTTACATTAACACACAGCACCATCTAGTTCCATGGTAAGCTAACAACGCTTGTGTTATGGGTACCAGATACATAGTTGATACACTACACATATAAATATAACTTTAAATACGAACATATTATAAATATAAACAACCATGACTTGGAGTACAAACATTCGTGCTCTGTGCTCATCACACAAATGAATGCTCCCAGCGGAACTCAAACCGGCGACCGCTAGCACAGCAAGTAAAGTCACTACAAACTGAGCCAAATGTGTCGCTTTGCTTATCATCAGTCAAAACGGTCCAGCGTAAAATTACAAATGAAAGGCTTCGCATTTACAGTGGTGGTGTCTCATATATGTATAATTTGAAAATAGTAAACTTATATTATTATTTTAATTTAATTTTATTAGTTAAGATTTAGAGGAAGAATAAAAAATCACAATAGATTTTGAGTTCAAAATCTCCATAATAACTCCATATTTCATCACAGGCTAAGTTGAAAGCATAAGCTAGTTTCTTTATATAATATGTAAACACGTGGTATACAAATAATATACTAAATAAAATATTTAATAACAGGGAGAGCGCCTTAGAATCAGTCCGCGCCTGCACACTTCGTGGTCAACTTGAACTTGTCAAATTGGACGAGCCCTTGCCGCTGTCTGAAATCGAACCTGCGTCTGAAATAGTCAAGCGATTCGCTACTGGTAAGTTATATTAATAATTGATTTGTGAAACCAATCAGAATAACTAATCTGTATCTAACAACAAAATCATATAACTTTCTCGTTTTAAATTATAATAGTCTTTAGATTCCTTTAATGCAGCCCTATCGCAAAATGTGTTCTTAACTGATATATTCTCACTATAAATTACTTAGTCCTACCAATTTTCAGCTGCATAGTTTTGTGTGTATATAAAATATTTACTTATTTATTTATTTAAAAAATTCACAGTAAAATGGTACATACACAAAAAAAAAAGAAATACAATTAAAGAAATGTGCAAAGGTGGCCTGGCCTTATCACTGAAAGCGATCTCTTACAAGCAACTGATAGGAAAGGATACAGAAAATAAAAGAAAAGAGCGGAAATAGTGCATAAAAGTATACATCAATGTAAATAAACATACATACAAAGCTACATATAAGATACTAATTTAAATATATCTATATATATTTATTAGAGATATACATAAACGTACATAATATTATTGTAAAGTTGAAATAAATAGTATAAAATATTATTATTGCATTAATGTTTTACCAATACATGATAATATATGCGTTTGCTAAGTTATTACACAGTTTGTATAAACTAGTAAATAAATACCGGCTTTATTTCTGTCAGGTGCCATGTCGTTCGGGTCGATCTCAATGGAGGCGCACTCCACGCTCGCGATCGCCATGAACCGTGTGGGCGGCAAGTCTAACACTGGGGAGGGCGGGGAGAACGCGGACCGGTATCTCAATCAAGTAAGCGGTTTTAAATAACATAACTCTGAATAATTAATATTGTCTAAAAAATAATGTATGTGAATCATTTTTGTATAATTTCTCAAAAGAGAGGGAAATAGCGTTATTTTTGTTTCATATATTTAATTTAATTGTTATCGTAGGTAGTTTTTATTTGATACTAGCGACTTTGACTCCTCATCTCGCTAGGGTGTGTCCCTAAGTGCCTAATATTAGCCTATGTGTTACCTGTTAATCCGCATCGATTACGATGCGGATTAACAGGTAACATATATTACTACATATAGATTACTACCGTCTGTGTACATTTAATTCATCCAAATCCGTTCGGCCTTTGAACGTAAAGAATAAAAAACAACAGGAGTACAAACTTTCGCATTTATAATAGTAAACCGATAACATTTTATATAACTTAAAATAACACAAGTTGATACATTTTAAATGTTGAAAATATTCAGCATTCCTTATTATATGTTTTCGAATTTTTTCTCACGTGACTATGATCGCTGTAAAGCATTCAAAACGTCGGGAACCAAAAATTAAATAAATCCTAAAAAAAAACCAAAAAATAGTTTTATTTAAAATGTCAAATATTAGCGTAAATCTAAGAAAGTTATTCCCTAAATGATTAGTCAAACATGTTTAGTTTATTAAAATATATGTATACACAAAAGGACCCAGAATTCAACAAGCGCTCGGCCATCAAGCAAGTGGCGTCGGGTCGGTTCGGCGTGACGGCGTCGTACCTCGCGCACGCGGACGACTTGCAGATCAAGATGGCGCAGGGCGCCAAGCCGGGGGAGGGCGGGGAGCTGCCTGGTATGTGCATGGCAGATATTTAAATCGTATTACAGAATTTGTAATTTGTAGTACTTTGGTAGTAAAGGCTTAGTTAGGAAGTAAAATTAAGTGCTTAGTAACTCTTGTTAGACGCAATAGAGTTGAGTTCAGCTCGCACTGCTCCTAGTGCCTCGCACTATTTTCCACTTCAAAGTGTTTATCTTTAGATAGCGTAAGTTTTATTTTTTCTTAGAAAGCTTGTTACTTTAGTGTTATCGATAACGATAGCCAACTAGTGAATAATGAGTAAAACATAAACGTGCAATTCGAGATGCAAACAGCAATCTCACTGAATGGACTCGAGGATTCACTTGTCATTTAGCATGTTTTTGTAGTGAGTTTTAAAATAAAATCTTGAGCTTTTACTAGCAAGTTGTAAATAGACGAGTAATATCATGTGTGTAACATATATTATAATTAAGTATAAAATCTTAACAATATCATAATATGTAAAAGGTAAAATATTACATGTTATAAAAAAATCTTCTACTTGTAACATAAATAGAATAAAAATGAAATAATTCCTATGAACCATATTCAAATTTATATAATTTTAATACTCATGTTTAAAATAATTTCGTTAATTTAGGCTACAAAGTGACAGAAGAAATCGCCAAGACTCGTTGCTCAGTGCCGGGCGTAGGGCTGATCTCGCCGCCGCCGCACCACGATATCTATTCCATAGAAGACTTGGCAGAACTAATCTATGACCTAAAGTGTGCCAACCCTAAAGCCCGGATATCCGTCAAGTTAGTGTCGGAAGTGGGCGTCGGTGTTGTCGCTTCCGGTGTTGCCAAGGTGACAATTATTTATTAATGAGGTTTTGCTAAATCAATGTGCTATAATTTAGAAATTTTACAATATAAATTTAGATATTATAATTTCCAATGTTCCTTCATTATTATTTTCATTTATTTACATGAAACAGGCTTAAATAATCCTCTAGATATTAATAGAAATTTAGATAAAATTCCTTTATATACTAATTTTACTTCTAAAAATTGAATTTAATTTATTATTTCAATTTTTATTGTATTCTACCTTTATCTCTGCCAATCCTTTAGTAACATAATTCACATTCTAAGATATAATCTGATGTTTAAGATATAGTGTGATCGAAAACATTGTATAAAAATAATTTTGATTAATGTTTTTAAAATTAAAATAAATTTGACGACACGTATAGCTCAGTTTGTAGTGACCCTACTTGTTGTGCCAGCGGTCGCGGGTTCGAGTCCCGTTGGGGGCATTCATTTTTGTGATGAGCACGAATGTTTGTACTCTGTACGTGAGTTCTAGTAAAGTTATTTATGTGTAGTGTATCAACTATCTGGTATCCATAACACAAGCCCCGTAGCTTAAGATGGAACTGGATCGTGCTGTGTGTTAACGTCCCGACATATATATTTATTTATTAATGTTATAAAACCAATATGAAACACGCAGGGTAAGGCCGAGCACATAGTGATCTCCGGGCACGACGGCGGCACGGGCGCCAGCTCGTGGACGGGCATCAAGAGCGCCGGCCTGCCGTGGGAGCTGGGCGTGGCGGAGACGCACCAGGTGCTCGTGCTCAACGACCTGCGCTCCAGGTAGGGATACCACTTTATTTATTTACTAGCGACTCGCCCTCGCTTCGCTCGGGTTCGTCCCTAGCTTGATTATACCTATACAAACTTTCATCCCCGTTTCCCCCCTTAAAGTATGATTTCCGGGATAAAACGATTTCACTCACTCACTTTTCATATCATGAGATTTAAAAAAACTTATTTTAGTAAAAAAAATCTTTTAATTTTCTTCTATACAAAGCTTGTCCTGACAATAATAAACACAAAAAAATTTATCCAACTTGGAGCAGTCGATCGGAAGTTATCATACGCGTACATCGGTCATTCATATTTATTTACATAGATTTAAGATTTACTAAATATATTTCTTTATATTTATAGTTTTACTATGGTTTAAAAAATAAATTGTTTTCAGAGTGGTGGTACAAGCAGACGGTCAGATCCGCACGGGCTTTGACGTGATGGTCGCTGCTTTGCTTGGAGCCGATGAGTTTGGATTTAGTACCGCGCCGCTTATTGCTTTAGGTAAGACAATTTATGTATAGAAGATGATATTAGATTTTAAATTTTTGTATGTATATTCAATAATAGAGTTATCGGTTCTTTTAAGTAATAAATTGTTGTTATATAATTTTAAATGAAAATAATTTGCATATAATAATGTAACATGATTTCGAATTCGAAACAGCTGGCAATAGAAAAATAATAATTGCTTTGGTGATAAAATCATTATTTGAACCAAGTAGTAAGTCCGATGAAATTACCCATCGGCAGAAAACATAAACTTGAACAATTTCCATATACCCAATTCGAAAATGACGAACTTACCATATAAATTTTTTTATTTACATCTCTTTTTCGTAACTCATGTAGCCTTGTAGGGTATGTTTTTAAGTCCTAGTGCCTACCTTCGTTATATAAGAGTGGCTTGTTTAGAAACGCATAAAAACGTTAAAATTATATTACAACAATAACAATTCATTATTTTATATATATAGGATGCACAATGATGAGGAAGTGTCACTTGAACACGTGCCCGGTGGGTATCGCTACGCAAGACCCCGTGCTGCGCAAGAAGTTCACGGGCAAGCCCGAGCACGTCATCAACTATCTGTTTATGTTGGCTGAAGAGGTAAGTACTCAAAGATTTTTTATAAACAATGTTCATTTTTTTATTTACTATGTTAGTTATTTCTATTAATACGTAAACAAATTTCTCTTATATATTTGACTAGCAACTCTCCCACGCTTCGCGTCGGGTTTGTCCCTAGACAAAAACAAATCTATCCCATTGGAACTGCACATTTTACCGGGAATATATATAGGATATAGGGGATATCTAATGCAAAAAAATCCAAATGGAGTAGTAGTTTCTGAAATTAGCGCGTTCAAACAAACAAACTCTGTCTCTTTATAATATTAAGTATAGATAACAATTTTATTATTAAATTCTATACATTTATGTTGAGTTTTATTTATATTGTTAATTAATATTAAATTATACTGTTAAAAAGTTATTTTTTTTAAATAACAACTAGGTACATATATGAAGATGTGTTTATATGAATAGTATAAAAGTATTTTATTTTAATATTTTTATTCCTGTACATTTAAATATGTACATAAAATGTTTTAAGAATTTCAATATCTAAAGAATATAAATTTCATGTATACAGGTACGTGTGCACATGTCGGAAGTGGGTGTGCGTCGTTTCGGAGATCTAGTGGGGCGCACGGACTTGCTGAAGGTGCGGGAAAACAACGACAATCCTAAGGCGAGGCTGCTTAATCTGTCGCTCATACTGAAGAATGCGCTCCACATGAGACCGGGAGTCAATATTGTGGGAGGATCTAAAGCACAGGTCAGTATTTGAGTGTAGAATTACACATTTTATATTACTTTTTAATTAATTTTCGTATAACTTTAAATAAGTATAAGACAAGCATAATATATGCCATTCATTTGTGCTAATATAGTTAATATTATATTATATTGTATATAATTTATTTAATAAAAATTGAATGTAAATGTTAGAGAATTAAATGTTAGAGTTAGACGAATATTTGACATTTAGATTTTTTCAAGACTCCACTACGTGATCATGAATACTGTAAAGAATTCGAAACGTTGCAAACCAAAAATCAAAATAAAATTGCTACTTTGCAAAAAAAAATTTCGAAGAGATATGTAATAATATCATAATGTAAAAACAAATTTTGAAACGCTGTTTTAATTTCTTTCTTGTTTAAAGTACCTATAGTATACATTAATTTACATATAAACTATTACAGGACTTCCAACTAGAGAAGCGATTGGACAACGCTCTCATACAACAGTGCAGTGGCATTCTGGACGGTAGTCAGCAATGCATTGACATCAATATGAAGATTACCAATGAAGACCGTGCTTTTACTTCTACACTGTCTTATCACATTGCTATGTATGTATTACTTAATTGATTTTATTATTTTCAACAAATATCATTTACTATGCATATGGGGTTAAAGACTGTCTAGTTTCAAAGCTATTGCGGTATATATTATAATACTATAGTAGAAATCACTGTTTTTTTTTTAATAAAAAAATGATATAATTTAGTATAGAAATCGGTTAATTTTGAAGTACTTTTTCTCCCTCCTCAATAATGTATCTATTATTAACGTATTTGAATTGTTGTATGACAGGAAGTACGGCGACGAGGGCCTCCCCGACGGCACCACCATCAACATATCGCTGGCGGGCTCCGCGGGGCAGAGCTTCTGCGCGTTCCTCTCTAAGGGCATCACTGTCACCTTGGAGGGAGACGCTAACGATTATGTCGGTTAGTTATATTTATGTTATATAACAATATATATCCCGTGGGATAAATTGTTATTTGTCCCACGGGATATATTGTTATATCTTCTTAATACATATAATACTTCCGTACGTGTTTTTGTCACCCTACTCCTCCTAAAGGGTTGGATCGATTTGGATGAAATTTTTTGTGTATATTTCAATGCTCTAGGATGGTTTGAAAACACAATTGGACCCGGTAGGTGGCGCTGTCGTGTGTCGGTGTGTCAAATAGATTGTTTTTTTTAGTAGTTTGAACGCGGCGAAACAGCGGGTACTGCTAGTAATATATATAAACCGTACATTTTTTCGGAAATAAAAAGTAACCTATGTGCTATTCCAGACTATAATCTATCTCTGTGCTAAATTACATCCAGATCTGATCAGCCGTTCTAACGTGATTGAGTAACAAACATCCATCCATGTAAACTTTCGCACTTATAATATTAAATGGGATTAATACTTTCAATATTTTTGATTTCATGGAAATATTTTATTGGTATAATTTTAGCCATTTATTGCTTTCCTTCAAAGGGCTCTGAATTGTTTGTTACAATGATATGAACGAAAATGATGTATATAATAATAATATGCTTGACCGAAGCTCCACTCACGTGACAGTAACTTTGATAAAAGTTCTGTGTTATTTACGATATATATATGCCGTGTAAACGATATTTATTAGTGTTATATATTTACAGAACGAATTTCCACAAGTCAAATATTTAAAATATATTCTTAATCACAGGAAAAGGCCTTTCTGGTGGTAAAGTGATCATCTATCCGCCGAAGAACTCTCCGTTCGAATCGCACTTGAACGTGATCGCGGGTAACGTGTGCCTGTACGGCGCTACGTCCGGCAGAGCGTACTTCAGGTATGTACTTATAATGTATAACTGCCTTGGTGGTGTATAGGCTAGCATATGCGTTTGCACTTCCGGAGATCCTAGGTTCGAGCTTTAGTGAGATTAGGAGGACATCGCAGTGTATGAGATCAGAAATTATTACTATATGTTTAATAAATTGACTTCAAAGTTAATTTTTAGATACACACGAATGGTCATTCTTTTTAAAAATGTATTATATACTAGCGACTCACCCTCGCTTCGCTTGGGTTCGTCCCTAACTTGCTTCATATTACAAACTTTCATCCCCATTTTCACCCCATTAAGGAATGATTTCCGGGATGAAGAGATCCTATGACCTTCCCATAGTCTAACTTCTTACCAAATTTCATCTAAATCGGTTCAGTAGATCCCGAGATTACCACCTACAACGTCACAAACTTTACCTCTTTATAATATTAGTATATATATAACTTGATTATAATTAAATGAATATGAATGTTTTGGTGTGATGGTGTACAGAGGCATCGCGTCGGAGCGGTTCTGCGTGCGCAACTCCGGGTGCGTGGCGGTGGCGGAGGGCGCGGGCGACCACGCCTGCGAGTACATGACGGCCGGCACCGTGCTCGTGCTCGGCCTCGTCGGACGCAACTTCGCGGCCGGCATGAGCGGTGCGTACACACACACAAGCGTGCGCGCGCATTCGCACGCACACTCACGTACACACACACGCATACACACGCACACACGCACTCTCACACACACACGCACTATATGCACACACAGATAGACCTAAATACGACGACTAATAATTAAAATTTTTGACGTTATTTGGGAACATTTCTTTGGTTTTATTTTTCTAATATCTCGGAAGTTATAGATATTTTTTTCTAATAAATAATATCATAATTTCGCCGCAAACGTTGCAAATATCAACTTGCGAAATTTTTAAATTCCCCTAAATAATCTTTTTTTAGCCATATAGAGCTAATTTTACTGAATTATTTCTATTTTTTTTTGTTATTATTATTTTTTATTATTAGTTTACAGTTTTTTTGTGAGCAGCGGATTTAATTCAGCCAAAAAATAAGATAGCAATTAACTCTAAAAATTAAATTATGATACATCTTACCGTTATTGGCGTTGATTGTTAAACATGTATTGCAATAAATTATGTTTAACAGGTGGTATCGCTTACGTGTACGATATCGACGGCTCGTTCAAGGTCAAATGTAATCTCGAAATGGTTGAATTGCTGCCTCTAGAAAAGCAAGACGATCTGGATGTAGTGCGGACACTTCTAGAAGAATTTGTCGAATATACTGGGTAAGATATTATTATAATATTAATTTCGTGGTTTTATATTATCCCTTAAAATATAGTTTTCTTAAGGCCTTTATAGTTTTTACTGATTCTATTTTATTATAACGTTAAAAATTACATGTATATAATATTATCATGTATCATTCAATATTTAAATATTCTCAATAACAAATGTTGTTATAAAACTTCACAATTATTATTTTTTTATTACAGTTCAATAATCGCCAAGAACCTTCTCGAAACTTGGCCGGAGCCAGCTAAGATGTTTATCAAAGTGTTCCCATACGAATATCAACGAGCTCTGAAGGCTATGGCTCTTAAAAAGTCCACTCCTAAAGTGGATACTAACGGAGAAGTGGAAGAGAACGGTGTTGTCGACATCGAAGAGGCCGTGAGGAATGTCGAACTTGATAAGAAGAATTTGGAGAAGGTTCTAGATAAAACTAGGTGAGTTTACTTATTGATTTATCAAAAACTAGTGTTTGAACTAAGGAAATATTAACAAACACACAGGCATGATATTATCCAGTATTATTCATTAGTAGGTGATCGCTTAACGTTTTTAACGAAAATGCTGTCAAATGCAAGGGTTGTCAAAAATGCTACGAGTAATTTAGGCAAATGGTTTCGAAATTGTACTGTAGTGTCATCTCGTAACTTACGCGTCAATCTTAAAGACGTTTTCCGTCTTATTAAAAAAATGTACGACAGTCGCGTCTACTCCTGTGTGGGGCATGATTGTTATATCTAGACCACTTCGTATAGATTAATAGGCTGTGGTATTGTATTTTTATCTTATATATGTACATTATGGAATGTTAAAATTTAATGATTTTAGATCAATGCTTTTAAAATAAAATCCCTTTTTTTGTTTATAAGAACTACATGTCTGGGTAGTTAATATGTGGTTTGGTATGTCTCAGGTGCACCATAAGTATAGAACGTTATTATTATTATATATTATGGTAAATTATGGTAAATCATCAAATACAAAGAGATATTATTATTACAATAACAAGCGGCTCACCTTCGCTTCGCTCGGGTTCGTCGCTAGGTACGTTTTAAATAGATATAAATATTTACTAGCCAGCGTTAGCCATATAATTTTTTTTTTCGCCGAAAAAAAAACATTAACAGAATTGGTCCAGCCATTCTTAAGTTATGCGCTTACCAACATTAATTTTTATTCATATAGATAAAGCGTAACGTATTGCGTACTGTTCGACAGGGGCTTCATAAAGTACCCGCGCGAGACGTCGCTGTACCGGCCGGCGGAGAAGCGGCTGCGCGACTGGGACGAGATCTACAACTTCGGCAGCGTGCGGCGCGGCCTGCGCGTGCAGGCGGCGCGCTGCATGGAGTGCGGCGTGCCCTTCTGCCAGAGCGCGCACGGCTGCCCGCTCGGCAACATCATCCCCAAGTGGAACGACCTCATATACAGGGCCGACTGGCGGCAGGCCTTGGCGCAGCTCTTGCAGACTAATAACTTCCCTGGTGAGCTCTATCGATTTTTCTCCCTTATTCTTTTGTCCCAACTTAAGACGTTATCTTCCTCTATCTTCGTCATCTTGTTTCTTTCTTTCTTTTGTTTTATTGTCTCTTTTCATTTTCACATACTCTAAGGTTCTCGGACAAAATAATTGAACGATTATGCACGTAAATTGGTTTTTGCTTGACTTTTAAGAACGCAATTAATATTTAATTGACTTACATTGTCTTCATTTTGTTGAAATTTCTATTTCTTATATGTTACATTAGAGGATTTATATATCATAAATGTTTATGTATTACAAGATAAAATAATATTACTATTCTATATATTATTTACTAGCGACTCACTCTCGCATCGCTTCGGATTCATCCTAAGTAAAAACAAACCTATCCCACGGTACTTTTTTCCGGGAAATATGTATAGCCTTATATATAGCCTTCTTCAGTAAATGGGCTACCTAATGCAAAAAGAATTTTTCGTCGGATTAGTAGTTCCTGAGATTAGCCCGTTCAAACAAACAAACAAACTTTGCCTGTTTATAATATTAGTATAGATTATATACATATAACTTATGTGTATATATATGTTACTAGTGATTCCCCATACAAACTTTTATCCTCATTTTCACCCCCTTAAGGGATGCAGTCCGGGATAAAAAGTGTCCTTCCCGGGGTCTCAAACTATCTTCTTACCAAATTTATCTAAATTAGTTTAGTAGATCCAGAGATTACCCCCGACAACATCACAATCTCACAAACTCATAAACTCACAAGCTTTACCTCTTTATAACATTAGTATAGACATGGTTATTCAAAACTTTAAAGATTATACATTCTCTTCTCTCTATCTTTTTCGAGTTTTTTTATAATCGAGCATTTTTTTCATATCACTTGAATTGACCAAATTAGATACTTACGAGTTTATTATATACATATAAGTAATCGAACAATATGGTCGTATGCCAGAGTTCACGGGGCGCGTGTGCCCGGCGCCGTGCGAGGGCGCGTGCGTGCTCGGCATCTCCGAGCCGCCCGTCACCATCAAGAACATCGAGTGCGCCATCATCGACCACGCCTTCGAGGCCGGCTGGATACAGCCAGAGGTGAGTCGGTACTATCTATTTATATACTACTAGCAGAACCCGCGGCTTCGCTCGCGCTAAAACTACAAAAAAATCTTTAAAAAGTAGTCTCATACAAACTATCATCCCCTATTTAACCCCCTTATAGGATGTGATACATATCTATTTGATTTTATTGAAGAGCATTAATACCAAATTTCAATTAATTATGATCATAAATATTTCTTTGGATTGTATTATAACGCAATTTCCCGTGGGAAAAAGATAATCTCCCGCTGTAAAAATTAGCCTATGTCACTCTCCAGTACTACTACCTCCACACAAAAAATCACGCCAATCCGCCAAGCCGTTTCGACGTGAAAGAAGGACAAACAAACACACTTTCACATTTATAATATTAATATGAATGATTATAACAATTTACCCTACTGCGGAAGACCGAAGAAGGGCTATGTGTTTTGTGTGTATGTCCGATTATAGGTTGACTCGTAATTAATAAACGGCTTAACCGATTATGCTGATTCATATGTCGTTACGTCTACGTCATATGATTTGAAGACATGATCATTCGTACGTCTTGATAAAGTGAGTGTCATAGGATATATGATGGGATGTCATGAAAAAGTTTCTTCTCCCAAACCAATGTAATCAATTCAAAATTTAAATAATTTAAATAGAAAACAAATCTGTGTAAAAAGCGGAACGAATTGACGCAGGAACATAACATTATGCAATTGGGACATACAAGCACGTAGCAAGTCTAGCAGCAAGGATAAAACATTCAACTTTTCATAAGTATATATAGTTTTAGCAACATATGAAATGTTTACGCTGCAGCTATCGATTTGCTCAAGCATTTATTATATTATAAATTTGAAGAATATATATAGATAAAATAAGTATATATGCTACGGATCAAGTAATTAATAGGACATTATTGATCATGCATAGGCATTTCGCAAAATGCCTAAAGTGAGAAGATAATTATCAAATAGTCCGGGCTTGATGAATCGTGTCCTTCAGTTATTGGGCAGGATAATAAAAAGAAGTATTTACTAAAATATTAGGTGCCGAATAGTTGAACAGGAACATAGCACTTATGATATTGGGGGTTCTAGGTGGCTAAAATAAAAAAAAGACCCTACGTCATCCATGTCGGACCTGTCACTATCAAGAAACGCTAATATCGAAAAGCTGTAATCAAACCAACATAAGCCATTGCAACGTTCTTAACCGTAATCGGTCGATTTAATAATCGTCGCAAGTTTATGAAAATTGTAACGTTTATCCATTGTCACTTCTGGATTTTACGCATAAATGAAAAAAAATAAAAATTCAACAAGAACAGAAAAGACGGGAAAACGTGGAAATAAGTGTGATGAGCTTTATTTTTCTGTAACCTAATGAAACAATCATAACATTATCAAATTACTGTTTATCAAGTATCAATATTCATAATGCCCACACACTGTAATAAATAATGAGGTTTAAATAATTATTAATCACTTGACCATATTGATTATACAAAACATTATAATAGTGCCTTAATGAATCACTTGACCATGACATATACATATTTCTCTGTAACCTATACCCTGTATTTATATGGAAAATTTATTTTTACCTGAGGCATACAGTACAGTATAATGTGTACCAATTAATGACGACATGTTTGGCTCAGTTTGTAGTGATCTTACTTGCTGTACCAGCGGTTGTGGGTTCGAGTCCCGCTAGGGACATTCATTTATGTGTTGAGCACTAATGTTTGTACTCCAGTTATGGGTGTTATGTATGTATTTAAAGTTATATGTGTGTAGTGCATCAACCATCTGATACCCATAACACAAGCCTTGTAGCTTACCATGGAACTAGAAGATGCTGTGTATTAATGTCCCAACATATTTATGTATTATTTAATTAATGTGGTTATTAATTGATTTTTTTATTGTTTACAGATCCCTGAACACCGGAACGGTAAAACTGTTGCTATTGTTGGCTCAGGACCATCAGGCTTAGCGTGTGCCCATCAGCTTAATAAGGTATTTTTTTTATGACGATAATAAAATTTTCATACTAAGTTCTTAAAAATATTCTCTTGTTCTAGAATAAAGCATAATGTCAGATATCTGTATATGTAAGAGTGAGAAATATAATAGAAAGACGTTAAGAAGGGTTGAATACACAAATTCCACTGCACAGTGTACATATATTACAGAATATACATAATATATTATAGTACTGTTAATTTTTAAATGCTCCTTGTAACTGTTTATGCATGTCGTGGTTACCTATAAGTAAAATATCAGATTGATTTAGACGTCTTTTGCACAATTCTGTATTTTTGTTAAGTTACTGTATATCATGTTGGTGATTCTAATTAAATAAATAACTAAAAATATTGTACAACTCAGCAGCATGGAAATACCATATTGAAAAAAAAATGACAACGTCCAAACAAAATTTATTGTGTATTCAAAATTTATTTCAAAATATATTAGAACATTAAAACTTTGATTAATATTATAATTTGTTTTTAAGAAAATAATATCGAGTGTGCATATTACTAAACACCCGCTATAAACAATAGCATTCCCAAGGAGGGTTGACGTCAGGCAGGCGGCCGTAAAACTTTTGCCAAATCCTATCAGCAGTACAGAAGTTGTACTGCGCCGAGCCCACGTGATCGGGAAATGGGCAGAGAGATGATGATGATGATATTGTATATTCCAGGCGGGCTACACGGTGACGGTGTTCGAGCGCAACGACCGCGCGGGCGGCCTGCTGCAGTACGGCATCCCCAGCATGAAGCTGAGCAAGGAGGTGGTGGCGCGCCGCGTGCGCCTGCTGGCCGCCGAGGGCGTCGCCTTCAAGTGCAACGTCGACGTCGGCAAGGACATATCCGCTGCAGATCTGGCTAATGAGTGAGTGCTTGCTTGTTTTTAGGGCTCCGTGCCTTAAATGGAAAAAGGAATCCTTATAGGATCAAATGGTTGATCGTTGTACGTCTGTCTGTCTGTCAAGACTCTTTTTGTCAGGAACTCGTGGAGGTATCACATTGAAATTTATATCCAATACTCTGCAATGCAAACTTGGAAAATTAGCTCTGAAAAAAGCAAACTTCTAAGTTAACGCAATCAAAAGATACGGCCGTTTCTGCCCCATACCGCAATGGAGTGAAAACTTATAGGGTACTTCCCATTGATCTAGAATAATGAAATTTGAGAAGTGATGTCTTATAGCACAAATAAAGAGAAAAATCCGTAATCCGTAAATTTGTAGTTACATCACAAAAATTTTGTTTTTATTGCTAATTTTAATGTTTTATGTTAGTGTAAGGGCAATGTCGATAGTTAGGTCGAATAGTAATAGTTTTGTAATAGCAACACCTTAAACAAGGATAGATATAGCAAATAAATGTAATGTTGGAGTGAGATAGCGTTATTGATAATACATATACTTCCAAGATGTCGTTGTTTCATTAAGCCACCCTATCATGGCGCTGCGACAAATTAATTAAAATAAATAGGAAAAGTTAAAGTTAAAGTAAAAATAAAGTAAATTTTCGATAGAATATATAGTAACAAGTGATGATCAATTAAAAATAATTGAAAAGTATTATCTAAAAACCAGATGTAGCCGGATTGTGAAAAAGCATACGTTTCATGCAAAGTAGCACGCAATACGTTTAATTGCGAGTACCACGTTCAGGTACTATCTGTAGGGTTTTCAGGTATTTTCAGCTACAAATTAACTTAAATAATGGAAGCAATAGAAGAGGAAAAATTTCAAAATTACACGGTGGCACAATTAAAGGAAGAGTTGGTATTACGATATTTGCCAACAAGTGGCCTTAAGCAAGACTTAATTAAACGGATTATACAAGACAACAAGGTAAAAATAGAGAATGGTACATTGGAAGCGTTAAAAGAAGAAAAGTTTAGAAGAGCATCTCAAGTTTTGGAAATGGAGTCTATGAGACAACAAATTCTAGAGTTACAGGCACGGAGCGTTCCTTTTTCAAACCCAGGTACGTCTAGCGATAGTAACAATGCAACCTTAACCGAAGTTTTGACTCAATTGGTACAAACGCAAGAAATAATTGCTCAAAAGATATCCCCTACATTTCAAGTATTCTCAACTAGCGACACAAGCAAAGCTATACCGCTTTTTGGTGGCAATCGTTTTGAAAATGCTTCTGAATGGATAAAACAAGTCGAACGCATCGCTGCTTTAGCTAACTGGTCTGATAATTTGACAATGGTAAATGCATCTATGAGGTTGAAGGGTCAAGCTTATAATTGGAACACAGTTTGTGGTAAAAAAATTGAATCTTGGTCAGTATGGAAGCAACAATTTATTGATAGATTTAAAATAAGAATGTCATTTGCTGAATTCATACAATACCAAAGTAAACGAACACTTCGCTTAACTGAAACCATAACTGAATACATATATGTTAAAAATGCTATGCTTGAAAAATCTCCCAGTATTATTCCAGAGCCAGATCGAGTGTCACTTATTTTAGAAGGAATCCAGGATATGCAGTGGTCAACGCCTTTAGCAACTCATTGTTGTAAAAACGTTGAGGACCTTATTACACATGCAACAGCTATGGACAACATCAGGAAGGTACAGCGTAAGATGACCGAGCATTATGAATCAGTAAGTAAACCATTTGACAGACCTAAAAGTAGTTTCATACCAAAATATAACCCAGGCACAGATAAACTTGAAGAAGTAACTTGTTTTCGATGCAAAAAGAAAGGACATGTTTCATATAATTGTGATATGCAAGCTCAACAACCTCATGTACAGAATCTTAAAGAAAAAGTAGTCACAAAACCACATACTAACCATTTTAATACCCCAAGCACATCGGCGAACACAAAAAATTACCAACAAAAGGAAAAACAAGTTAATTGCATACAGTTTAATGAACCAAGTGTAACTTTAATTCCAGTAACCCTTAACAGTGACATAACATTGACAGCTCTCCCAGATTCAGGATCAGTCATTACATTGGTTGATAAGAAGTTGCTCCCAAGTGATTTGCAAGTATATCCATGGCAAAAAGGCTCATACAAGGCAGCAGGTAATATGATCACACCCTTTGGATGGATTACAGCAAGACTTCAGGTAGGAAAAATTGATTATATTATGCCACAGATAGCAATTTGTGACAACTTACCTGTAGATATGATACTAGGTAAAGACTGGCAACATGCAGTTTATGCAAGAATTATACATGAACCAGATGGCAGGGTATGTATAATTACACCTACACATACAGAGTATTTCACTAATTCAGTACAAGAAGACACTTCAATAGCATGTTGTATGAAAATCCCAGGACCTAACAAACAGGAAATTTCAGTCTCAATGGAAGATCAAGACAAAATTAATAAATTAGTCGATAAATACTCAGATATTTTTAAAAGGGACAGTAATGACATAGGAGAATTTCAAGATGTAGAATTAGAAATCAATTTAAAACACAACATTCCAATAAAATGTAAACCATACAGACTTCCACAGCCAGAACGTGAATTTTTAAGGAAAACAATAGAACAATGGATAGAACAAAAGATATGTAGACATTCAAATTCCCCTTATGCGGCACCAATGTTTGTAGTACAACAGCCATTTCATAGTACAACACCATTTAGACCTGTTGTAGATTATTCTAAAACAATAAACCCAATTACAGAAGAAAATGTACAACCTATAGACAGAATGGAAGACATAATACTCATAATTTCACAATTTATTTACAAATTTAAACTTGATATTTATCATGCCTACCACAATATTAAAATCAGAGAGGAAGATATTTACAAAACAGCTGTTATCACACAGGATCATCATATAGAATTTATGCGAGTAATGTTTGGCATGGTCGGAGGTCCAGCAATTATGTCGAAAGTTATTAACTTAACATATGGACACTTGTATAATGAAGGAGTGCGATTATATTATGATGACATTTCAGGAGGAGCTAATAGCATTGAGCAATTGTTGACAATTTTGGAAAAGGTATTTATTGCCACACGTGAAAAGAAATTAAAACTAAACAAAGAAAAATGTGTATTTATAGCGACAGAACTACCACTTTTTGGAAGAATAGTTGGTTACAATGAAGAAAAACCAGACCCGCAAAGAACAGCTGCAGTTAACAAGTATGACACTTTGAAATCATTATCAGAAATTAGATCATTTTTAGGATTTGCAAATACTTTCAGAAAATATATTCAAAATTATGCATCTATAGTAAAACCACTATCTGAAATTTTGAAACAAACCTCAAAGATGACCATAGAAAAAAAACAGGATCTAAAGAAAAATAAATTGATATTGACAGATAAACAACAAGAAGCTTTTCAATTAGTAAAATCACTTATAACATCTTCACCAATATTAGCATACTTTCAGCAGAATGCAGAGGAAACTATTGTTGAAACTGACAGTTCTTATAGCGGAATTGGAGCGTGTTTGTTACAAATACAAAATGGTCAGAAAAAAGTTATAGAATATGCAAGCCGTTCACTAAAGGACACAGAGACAAGGTATCATATTAATGAACTCGAAGTAACAGCAGTGCACTGGGCTATCACACAAAAATTCAGAATATATTTACTAGGCACTAAGTTCACACTTGTCACAGACAGCTATACTACAGCATATGTCATAAATAAATCAAAAATGAACAGAAAATTCGCAAGATATGTAGTAGACCTAGCACCATTTGACTTCACACCAGTGCACAGACCGGGTAAACAAAATTGTATTGCAGATCATTTGTCAAGATATCCTTTAGAAGAACTATGTATGATGATAATATCAAGTAATGAAGAAAAATTAAAACAAGCTCAAAGTAAAGACAATTTCATTAAAGTTATATGTACAAAATTAAGTCAAAAGCCAACAACAAATCACTTAAAACAAATAAGACAAACATACAAGTTAGAAAATGGTATTTTATTACATGTCGACAATCAAGAGCTTTTCAACAAGGAGAAAGTTGTAATACCACAAAGTTTAAGATCTTCAATATTAAAATTAGCACACGATGAAAGTGGACATTTGGACATGAAATCAACCTTATCACGGATTAAACAAAAGTATTGGTGGAAATCCATGCACAAAGATGTTAAAAATTACACAAAAGCCTGTCTAATATGTGCAAGTACAAATAGAAGAACAAAATTTGCATATGGATTAATGGGAAACAGACCGATACCAAACACACCATTTGAGGTTATATCAGTTGATCATATAGTTGCATTACCACAGACCACTTCAGGAAACTTATACATGTTGGTACATATAGATCATGCGACTAGATATATAATGGCTAAACCTACAAGTTCTTTATCAACAACAGATGTTATAGATACCATAGAAAAGGATATTATATATGTATATGGTCCACCTTTGACATACATTTCAGACAAAGCACCATGCTTTATGAGTCAAGTAATGCAAAAGTTTTTCACAAAATATGGAATACAACATCTACCGACAACACCATATACTGCTCAGAGCAATGGTTTGATAGAAAGGGCAAATGCTACCATCATTGCAACTTTAACTAAAGTGGCATTAGAAAACAGTACAGAGTGGGATAAGTTATTACCAAATACATTGTTAGCCATCAACACATCAAGACAAAAGACCACAAGTTATTCACCATTCTACTTGTTACATGGATATCACCCCAGAATTCCACCAAATGAAATTCATATTGGAACCATTCAGGAAAACATGGACCGGACACACCAGTTAGATTTATTAGAAAAGGCGAGACAAGAGGCTATCATTAGAATACAGGATCAACATAGCAAAAGTAAAGTAAAATATGACCAAAAGAAATTACAACATAATTTTGAAGAAGGAGAATATGTTTTATATGCATGGCCCCAACCACAAGACCATAAGTTGACACCAAAATACAAGGGACCATACAAAATTATTAATAAGATAGGATCAGTTTGTTATGAAATTCAGAATACAAAGAAACCAACACAGAAGAAAGTAGTACATGTTCAATATTTAAAACCTTTATCCCCACCTCCAGTCCTAGATTCTTTTTCAGCTTTTTCAGCAATACACAATGATGACCAATATAATGATGACAACAGCAATAATGACAACTCCCTTGGTATACAAATGAAGGAGGAAGATCAGCTCACGGATATGACACACACACCAGAATATTATGAGGGTACCAGCCAACCAGTACACAAAAGGCAGTATGTTACTAGGAGAGGACGCATCACCGAGAAACCATTCAAGTATGGTATATAACCGGATTTGACTGTATAGATATATGTATTTCTTTTATATTTCATGATAGTATACAATCTATGTACCGAAGAGTCTTAGATATCATTATTTTTCTTCTTTGCAATCAAAGTTTATTCAGTAACATAACATAATTAATAGCAAATTTTTTTTTAACAGTATCTTAATGTTTTCAAACTAAATAGTAATAAGTAATAACTCAGCATAAAGAATGTAAAAAAAAAAAGTAGGTAAGTAAATTGAAGTTAAATATACTTGTAGTAAATTGAAGTTTAATATAATTATAATAAGTAAGTTAAATATACTTGTAACTTAATATTTTTATTACAAAATTAAAAAAAAAAAAGAGCATAAAAATATAACAATAAAAACAAAAAAATAGCATAAAATTTTCAATAAATAACAAAAATATATTAACATGTATATAAACAAAGGAAGTTAAAGTTGATTTTATTTTGTTATTAGTTGTATTAGAAGTTAAGTTTGAATAACAATGTAAATAGATTCTATAGGTAAGATATAAAAAAAAGAAAATTATATTATTATTTTTTATTATATAAATGTTAAGCAATGCATGAGCATTAGATTTAAAGATCAGTTGTAGACATCGCTTATAGTTTAAGACCAGACAAATTAAAATCTAAATGTAGATATTGAGTACAGACATAACAATATCAGTTGATTTGTATACATGTAACAGTGACAAATATAGAAAGTTTATTCATAAAAAACATTGTAAGTAATTAAAGTTGTTATTAGTTCAGTTTCAGGCCTGCCCAATAGAAAAAAAAAGTAAATTATAAAGTTGCGAAATTAATTGTTGTTTTTAAAGTAATTTTTAATAAGAGTTTGTTAAATTGATTAAAGTTGTTTGAAGTAACGGCATGTAAGGAAGATGTGAAATTAAAATGTAAATGAATAAATATTAATTTAAATTTGAATTTCAAAGGGCATGTAAGGGCAATGTCGATAGTTAGGTCGAATAGTAATAGTTTTGTAATAGCAACACCTTAAACAAGGATAGATATAGCAAATAAATGTAATGTTGGAGTGAGATAGCGTTATTGATAATACATATACTTCCAAGATGTCGTTGTTTCATTAAGCCACCCTATCATTAGGAAACCCTCTGTGTGTGTGTGTGTGTTTTTTACTCACTAGTTATATGCTATCTCGTTCTTGTTTATGCTTAAGCATAGTTGTAGGATACAACGTCTCTATTACACAAGTCGCACTTTGGATTTTAGTGAGGAAGAATCTTACAGATTATACTTAAGAGGTTATTTATAAATAGAATATACTATTAAAATTTTAACCTTCTATGTTCAGCGGTTTGATTTGGGTGAAAGTTGCCAAAAACTTCCACACTCAGAAAATGATTGTTACCGCTGGAAAGTTAAAAATATGTCATTTTTTTGGGTATATAAATCTTTTGCTTTTCTTCAACTTGATATTCTTGCTTTGGTATGGTACTTTCAAATAGAGGCAATTTCACAGATAGATTTTCTCGGCTTGGTGATACAAATATGACTGTATTTCACTGTTCATATTATTCAGTTTATATCGTTATGTATATATATATATATATAATAGTTCCAACTTTGACGATATGCAGCTCTATATGAAGGAGAATAAGCTTACATTGGAAACTAAATTGAATTTTTGACATTACAACAAAACAATTAATTACAGGTATGACGCACTAGTCCTGTGTATGGGCGCGACGTGGCCCCGCGACCTGCCGCTCAAGGGCCGCCAGCTGAACGGGATCCACTTCGCCATGGAGTTCCTGGAGGGCTGGCAGAAGAAGCAGGCGGGGCCCGTGCCCGGACACGGCAAGGACACGCCAGTTCTGTCCGCTAAGGACAAGGATGTGCTGATTATTGGTGGAGGTGACACCGGGTAGGTCGTGATGATGTATTAAATAAAACAGTTGAAACGTCCAATATCATTTGAAAACATACACACAAATTCAGTACCTTCTTTTTTTTTAACTAGCGACTCACCCTCGCTCCGCTCGGGTTCCTCCCCTAGTTACGTTTTAACGTTTAGTATAGATTTCTCAGAGATAAGATATTTTCCTACAGTGAAAAGTATCATATATGTTGACTCGGATAACCAGCTATCATCATACCAAATTTCATTAAAATCTGTCCAGTAGTTTTCTCGTGGTGTGCTCCCAGACAGACAGACAAAATTCCAAAAACTATGGATGTGGCCTCTGTATCATCGATGCAGCTGTTGAAAATCTTATTGAAATAGTCATTATTATCGAATAATGACTATTTCAATAAGATTTTCCAAAAAAATATTTAATGTACAGATTCGACTCAGAATTTGATTATATGATCAATACAGGTATTGTAGCAGTAGTAGGAGACAGCTAGTCTACATAAAATACTTGCGGGAAACAATTTCATTGTTGTAACTGCTCAGTCAGTATACTAAAGATAATTCTTGTTTATAGATGCGATTGCATAGCAACATCGCTACGTCAAGGCGCTAAATCCATCACAACATTTGAAATTCTACCCGAGCCAAAGAAAACTAGAGGCCAAGACAACCCGTGGCCGCAGTGGCCGAGAGTGTTCAGGTACTTATATATTAGAATGTTATTTTCAGTAATATTATTATTAATTCGATAGTATATCTGTATTTTTGAATCATTTTATCATCAATACCACGGAAACCACATCGATGAAATGTAACATCATCATCATTCATCTTTTGAAGTGAATGAAAGAATGGTGATTTGAAATTCCATGAAACGGAAATGCGACACTAAAAAGAGACAAACACATAAATATATAGGATTAAGCCGGCGAGAGAATGACATAGAAAACATCGCCATGTTGCCATGGTAACCGTTGTTCTACCATGCGTGAATTGCATACACACGCACTTTTTTCATAAATTTTCACTAAAGTTGTTGCAAGAATTCATTAAATATATAATTTATAAGTCATTTATTATTTTTCCAAAAGGCTCTTAACCATCCATTATCATATGGATTGCTAACAACGTTTTAGTATAACATTAAAAACTTAGATATTTATAAAAAAATATTGTGTTTGTCTTTAGGGTTGACTATGGCCATGAAGAAGTAAAGGTGAAGTTTGGAAACGATCCTAGACAATTCTCTACACTCACCAAAGAGTTCCTCGATGATGGTAAGACCTTATAATTATACTAGCGACTCACCCTCGCTTCGCTTAGGGCTCGGCCCTAAACAAAAACAAATGGCACGGGAACCGTACATTTTTCCGGGATAAAAAGTAACTTAAAGGGGCATTTCACGTGAAGCCGACAACGAAAAAAAAGTAAGTTTCAATATGAAAAAAAAATCCAAAAAAACCCTTCCTTCAATCTGATCAATTCTTTAGAATCTCACAACTTAACAGGTTGAAATATGCCTAATATGAACGAATTTCAGAACCTCACTTTTTTTTGTTGTCCGCTTCATGTGAAATGCCCCCATGTGCTATTCCGGGCTATAATCTATCTCTGTGCCAAATTTCATCCACATACGTTTAGCCGTTCTGGCGTGAAAGAGTAACAAACATCCATACACACTTTCACATTTATAATATTAGTAGGATCGACAACTTAATGTTCGTAATACACATTGATGTAAACATAAATATTGACGACACGTTTGGCTCAGTTTGTAATGACGCTACTTGCTGAGCCAGTGGTCGCGGGTTCGAGTTCCGCTGGGGCATTCATTTGTGTGACGAGCACGAATGTTTGTACTTCAGTCATGGATGTTTATATTTATAATTATAATGTGTATGTATTTAAAGTTATATATGTGTAGTGTATCAAGTATGTGGTATCTATAACACAAGCCTCGTAGCTAACAATGGAACAAGACGGTGCTGTGTGTTAATGTCTCAACATATTTATTATAATGTCCCAACATTTATTTATTACTAGCATTGCCCGCGGCTCCGCACGCGTTCAGATGACCAAAAACCAAATTCCTAGGTTTTACATACTCTTAATTACAGTTTTTATATTTTTTCTCATAAATGAGATATTTTTCCGCGGTAAAAAGTATCCTATATGTTGACCCGGATAATCAGCTATGACCATACCAAATTTCATCAAAATCCGTCCAGTAGTTTTTCTGTGATGCGGTAACAAACAGACAGACAGACAAAAATTCTAAAAAGTATAGATTCGGCCTCTGTATCGATAATAATGTTTATTTCATCATGGACACCGTATACACATTAAGTGTATACGGTGTCCATGATTTCGTACGGATATTAATGTATTCGACAGTCTTGCCCTATCGTTTTATACCAATTTAACATTTACATATTGTTTTTAATCGTTTTTTTAGTCAATATCATTTATTTACTGCCAGCGGATTTTCTCGTAAAAAACAAATCGCCTGAAGCCAAAATTTGCGATCTTACTAGTATTCTATCCTTCTATCATGATCATATCATCATCTGATCCCTCTGTTTAGGCTTTACATACTTAATAGTTTTAAAATTACTCTAATATCTGATTACGTACAAGCTGTGAAGCTTATGTAAATTTATGTATGTTTGTTTGTATGTATTAGAAATGTGCCGGAAATTAAGTCGAATCGTATTAAGTATGTTCGCCTTTTTTTATATGCGTGTTTGTCCGAATATTTAGTAATTTGCCGAATGTTTACCGAATATTTATAGTATTCTTTTAAGATTGTTATATGCTAAAATATCTTTGATGACTTTGGCTCAGTAGTAGTAGTAGTGTAGTGACCCTACTTGCTGTGCCAGCGTTCGCGGGTTCGAGTCCCGCTGGGGACATTCATTTGTGTGATGAACATGTTTGTACTCCAGTCTTGGGTGTTTATATTTTTAAATATGTATGTATTTAAAGTTATAAATATGTAGTGTATAAACTATCTGGTATCTATAAGACAAACCTCGTAGCTTACTATGGAACTAGATGGTGCTGTGTGTTAGTAGGTACGTTTTAACGGTTAGTATGAAATAGAAATCTATGAATTTCTGGGTTATTTTGTACTATAATAAGCATGTATTGTACATATAAACCTTCCTCTTGAATCACTCTATCTATTAAAAACAACCGCATCCGCAATCCGTTGCGTAGTCTTAAAGCTGTAAGCGTACATAGGGACAGAGAGGGTGATGTATCGTGTCGTACGCAGGGTCGGGCAACGTGTGCGGCGTGTCGGCGGTGGAGGTGGCGTGGTCGCGCGGCGCGGGCGGGCGCTGGCAGATGGCGGAGGTGGCGGGCTCGGCGCGCGCGCTGCGCTGCGACCTCGTGCTGCTCGCCATGGGCTTCCTCGGCCCCGAGCGATACGTCGCCTCGCAGCTCGGTACACACACAACATACATGCGCGCGCACTGCAGATACATGTGTATTAGGATGATTCATTTCCGCCAAAAAAAAAATTTTCTCTGTGCTCAAGCAGAATATGAATCTACATATAGAAAAAAAATCTCACCAATTTTGAGCTCTTAATATCAATTTTAAATACTTACTATTTAAATTTGGAGTTTTCTCATAGAAATTGCGTATAAAAAATGTTTTTTTTTTTATTTTTTTCAAATTTCTAATGTTTAGCCACCTTTTACAATATTGTGAATCGGTTTGATGGACCTTATGATGAACACGCTCTTCGAAATTGCTCTAGTGTTTTAATGTGTAACCCGCACTGGTTTGTCAATAAGAACCATCAAAGTTCAGTTTTCTTTTTCAATTTTTTTGAGCAAACCACAAAAACTAGAGAGAAAGAAGGGCTGACCCGTCAAAAATAGTTCTCTGACCAATATTTAATGAATTTACAGCGATTTTTATACCTCAAAACGTAAGAAATAAAATTTAGAGCTCCTGGCGCTATGCACCATGCTCGTTGGCTATCGAACCCTCTATAGAGTTTAAAAATATATATGTTTACAAAATATCTATAAATTATCAATTTCTTACGTTTTGAGGTATAATACTGGGGTTTAAAATAGCGTTGTTGGGTCTATATCGTCGGCGTACTATGTATAGTATTGAGAGCGAAAAACTGTAAAACGCATCAATTACTATAATAATAAATATGTTAAAAAAGAAAGAAAATTTTTACGCATAATCATAAACTTATTTTTTTTAATTATATTTTTTTTTATTAGTATATGTAATTTAACCATAATAATCATTAATTAATATTATTTTAGATCTGCCACTAGACGCGCGCAGCAATGTGGAGACTCTAAAGGACAATATTTACCAGACGCCATTGAAAAATGTATTCGCTGCTGGAGGTAAATGATGTTTACTAACTATTTATTGCCACAATTCCGTTCGCGTGGTCTATACAAAATAGGTGATACAAACATGGAAGAACTCATGGACTGAATTATAATAATGTCCTGAACAATTTCGATGATGGCGGCCAATATCACTGAAACTAGCTAACTGCACAGGTGATATTACAGTGCACAAGTATGTGTGCTCTCAACTACTTTCACTCTCATACTCCGGTAAGATGACAAATCGACATTTACTCATTAAGGCATGGTGGTGAAACACCGCCCACTTCTTGACAGAAATCTCCAATAAATAGAATATAAAAATTTGGCCCGACTCGGGACTTGAACCCAGGATCATTATCATAACACGCTAGCCACTTGATCGACAATGCAGTTATCAGATACTATGACACATGACCAACGAAAAAGAAATATTCACACATAATATTATAAATTCGAACATTTGTAAGATAGTCGTTATGAATGTTTTTTTATTACCTCGCCCTACGCAACAAAAGAGCGAATGTTTTGGACCAACTTAGTACACTTTTTATCCTGAAAAACAGTTTTCACTCGAGTAAAGCTGCGTGCATTTATTCATGACACGTACAATACACATGGTTTGTTACATAATCGACCCTGAACTGCTGATTTTATATAAATTTAAATGTATTATTTAAATAAATTCAATTCATTTTAATATTAAGGAATATAATTGTCAAAACAAGTAATTAATGAATTTTACATATTGAAATTAATTCTTTTGTTACAGATTGTAGAAGGGGTCAATCGCTTGTGGTGTGGGCCATAGCAGAAGGCCGACAGGCGGCTAAAGCCGTAGATATCTACTTATCCGGCACGTCCTATCTCCCAGGCCCCGGTGGTATCATCAACCAATCATTAGCAATCAATCAATCGATATAATCAACCTATCAACCGATGTATTCAACCTATCGACCGACGCGAGCAAACTATCAATCTATCAACGCGTCAATATATGAGATATCGAAGATGGAGAACAGATACGTATTTGAAATATGTATTAATAGCAGCAATCATTTAATGATGAATTATTTCATCAACAGCTATTTATAATGCGGTTTTTAGTTCTTTTTTTTGTCATAATTATTTTTTATTAAGGAAATAAATCAGATGAAAATATATATTTGAAAATAATTAGTAAGGGACCTACTAGTCAGATGCCTATACGTATGCGATTTTTAGTGTTTTTCAACTCTGTAACAACAACTTCAACTTCAAAAACAAACAGAAAGTTTCAACTCTATAAAAATCTTGAAAAAAATCTCGCTACGTGTTTTAATGCACTATTTTTTTCGTAGTACAAATAATAATATCATGAACGAAATTTGATTTAAAATAATTGATAGATGTAACTGAGATACATATATTGTATAATACACCCGTAGTGGTTTATCATTTAAAGTGGTTTTTTTCTATGGAGTACCTACTAATAATATTTCTCGCTATAAGCTTTACACGTGTTGCGAAATATTTATTGGTTAAAAGCTTAATTTTATTGTAGCCTATAAGAATCCAAGTTAGTAAAAAAATTATCTTTATTTTTCAATTATTTTCAATTATAAGGTAGAAGTAAGAAATCGTTTTTCAATGTAGTAAACAATTAAACAACCGGAAGTGATTATTTAATGCCCAAAATGTTTATTTAAATACGGAAATTTAAATATACTTACTTGTTAATTAATTAACATTCCGTTACAACATTTTATTTTCGTCATCTTTTCTTACGCCAAAAAACAGAAAAATTGTACTGTTGAATAAAACTTGATTATCATACAACTTATTGTTAAGATATTTAAATAACAAAAAATTACCAAAATAATTATAAGTAAACTGGGGCGCGACTGTCGACATTAATCCCGCCACGACTGCGGACACGCCGGCGTGTCAGTTAACAATAGATTTCTTAGAAATTTACCTGGAGGTGAAATATTATGTGTTTACTTACAAGTTATCTATCTTGTAAGGTCTAAAATTGAGTTTTGTTCAGTTGAAATGAAACAATGTATAGAGCTCATGTATACCGAGGTTTTTTTATATCTACTCACCTATATCCTTTAAGTTTTTTTTTATTCGAACCCACATTTTTAGTTATAAAATATATCCTATCTCAATCGTAAGTTCGTTCATGCTCCGTGCCCCTCTGACTTTGTCTACACCAAACGTAAACTAGCAAAAAATTAAACTTTATGTACATACATGTTATTTAAATTATTGTTTTACACGTTTTTGTTACTCCATATTCATTATTTATTTATTACATGCTACCTTTGTTTTATTTAACTTACGTCATTGAATTAATTACTTTTGTAATAGAACCTATCAAGTTAGATAATACATGTAAATCATATATTATACATTAACCTTATAACGATGCTAAGTAGGTGTTCTTTATTGTATGATTGTAGTGTTAAACCATGTTCCAAATTTTTAAACAAAATTTACTTTAACTAGAAATCGAACCAGGGATATATGTTTATGGATACTATAATATTTGTCTTATTATAATTTATTCGATTTAATTACGTTAATATTTATTTTATGTACAAATTTTAATTTGACTATAATATGGAGGCGTCGTAAAATGCGTATTATACGACGTACGTATAATTTAACTGTAATTAATTATAATTTTTAATTCAAAAGTTAACGCAATAGTTAACGTGGCGTGTGCGCTTGAAAAGTTCCTACGGTAATTATTTACATATCTTTACAAATATTTGCGGCCTCTTGAGTGCTGTTTGAATAATAATGGAAATTATTAAATATTATTTTCATTTTAAATAAAACTATCTTTTTGGATTTTTTCGCGGATTTATTTTGATTTTTGGTTTCCGACGTTTCGAATGCTTTACAGCGACCACAGTCTTGGGAAAATAAATTCGCGAGAAAATTCGAAAACAAAGTATTAACATTTTCATTATAATTTAAAACATATAATGCCGCCATTGGAATTCATTTTATGAAAATGATATTCGATTGTCTCCGCTATATTTGTAGAGGGAAGCTTTTGTAGTTGTAAGATTTGAGTCGTAGTAACCAATGTAATAAACAAATTATTTATTATATGTACGTACAATGTGTCACTGTGTGTGGATATAGTTGTTATATCGTTTACTTCTAGATGTAAATGGAACATTGAATAAATAATAGCTAACAGAAAATGTTATACAAATAAATAAAACGTATTTATTATATTTCTTTAAAAATACACAACATGAATTCAAAGAACAAAAATAATATCAGTAATTGATAAGACAATAAATGAATGTTAATACTAAAAATGCTATGTATTTATGCTTTAAATTTTAAAATTTGTCTTGTGACCAAATTATTACACCAACAATTTTGGACTATATAAGATGTGTCACTATTATTCTTTAAAAAATATATAAACAGACGAACATTAAACGTCCTTGTTTTTTGAAGTCGGTTAAAAATGCTTATTTGGTTCACCTAAATGAGTTATTTATATATTGTGTAAAAAATATTTAAAATATTACTTGTTAATAGTAAGCCACATCCGTGCTATAGAAGTAGACTCGAACAGTATTCGCTTATACGTGCTTTTATAATTTTGTCAATTTTGAAATTATTATTTTCGCTATTATATTTAGTTACATTTTTATTTTGCAAATAAATGTAATATTAATTTATTCTTATTTATTTTATTTTAACCCTTTTGACAACAGAAATTTTAATTTCTAAGAAGAACACTTAGTTATAATAATTTTACTGTTAAAATTAAATCTAAAAGCAGAGATTTTATTGTTTAAGCTTTTTAAAAAAAAGTTTTTAGAGAACTTGTTAGAAAAAAATGAATAAATATTATCTATAATATGTTTCTTGCAAGTAGTATGATATATTGAAGTCTCATTAAAAAAGTACCTTTTCAATTAAAGTTTAGTAGGCAAATAGATAAAGTATACTGTATTAGGTGACTTGTTGAGAGTAATATATATATAATATTATTATTATCATTGACAATAATAAATGTCTATTGTAGCCAAATACAGTGTCGTATTAATATATTATTTCAGCACAGCAACTTGTTTTATTTTATTTTTTTACAGTTATAAAATAGGGTTATGCCTACTACCTACTGATCCTCGAGTTAAGAACAAGAAATAATAAACGTAAGGAGTTTCTGGTTCTCATTTACCTTTCTGTTATTTTATGAAAATGCCATTTAAAAGCACAAAATAGAAATATCATAATTAAGAAGTAAGAATCTCAAGAAGAGATTGAAAGTTCCAGAAATATTGAGGAACTAACATTGCCCGCGTCTCCGCCCGCGTTCAGATGACCAAAAACCAAATTCTTAGGTTTTACATATTAGTATACTCTTACATTGCAGTTTTTGTTTATTTTCTCGCGGTAAAAAGTCCTATAAGTTGACCCGGATAACCAGCTATCACCATACCTAATTTCATCAAAATCCCTCCAGTGGTTTTTCCGTGATGCGGTAACAGACAGACAGACAATAGTTCTAAAATCTATAGATTCGGCCTCTGTATCGATAATAATGTCTATTTCAATAAGATTTTCCAAAAAATATATAATGTACAGATTCGACTTAGAATTTGATTATATGTATAAATTACTCTTTATAGAAATCAAATATCTATACAGATAAATAAACTTAAAATGACTGTTTGTAATTAATGTAAAATAACAGATTTCTACTAAACGCATATGAAATTATATACGGTATCTATACTCTATAGGCTACCTATATATAGAAAACACAATTTTTAAAATGTTTGTCTGTCTGTTTGTTCCTTTTTGACGTCGACGGGACTTTCATTGACAGACAGCTGATGTTCAATGGAATAATTTAGGGAACTTTTATTTTAGAAAAATTATTAGGGTTCCGCTCCTACTACGTACCTCCTATTCAACCGATCATTCTTTTCCGAGTTAAAACATGTTAGAAATCTAATATCTTTATAAGTATCTAATTGTTATAACTTTTTTAGAAGTACCTACGTAATACTAAAATGATTTAAAATGGATCTTTTTACCCGACTGCGGCAAATTTCAAAGGAGGGTTATATGTTTGTTCTTTATATTGTAAATCCTCATCTACAAAAAGATTCGCGATACCAAATGCCCAACTTTATAGTTATTTATGTCACTAACTACTTTTTTATGATAAAAAAGTTAATAAAAACACCGATAGAAACTACACTGTACTTTATTCGTACCGACCGCATCTTAGTATTAATCCTAATCCAAATAATTTCTTTCGTTTCAATACCCGTAGATTAAGTACTTTTGAATTAAACAAATCGCACGTTCCATTCAAAAGATATAATGAATTTAAAAATATTACTAAAACAAAACACAAATAAGTTTGTACCTAACATAGCACTGTACTGACTCGAACGGTTTTGTTGTTAAAACAAAAAATGCAATATTGCCAAATTAAATGGAAGATTAAAGTAGAAACCTTTGTGGCATTGCCAACCACCGCCATATTTTTAATCTTCTGATGTACGATGGAAGTGGTACATATATCACAACTAGCATTGCCCGCGGCTCCGCCCGCGTACAGATGATCAAAAACCAAATTTTAGGTTTTACATATTAGTATACTCTTACATTGCAGTTTTTGTATTTTTTCGCAGAAATGAGACATTATCCCGCGGTAAAAGTATCCTATATGCTGACCCGGATAACCAGCTATTACCATACCAAATTTCATCAAAATCCCTCCAGTGGTTTTTCGGTGATGCGGTAACAGACAGACAGACAAAAACTCTAAAACCTATAGATTCGGCCACTGTATCGATAATAATGTTTATTTCAATAAGATTTTCCAAAAAATATTTCATGTAGAGATTCGGCTTAGTTAGAATTTTATTATATGTATAGATGGCTAATTTTAGGCGTCAATAAGGGGTTTTAAATTTTTTTCCTTCCAAACCTTTCGAGTGGTATATAAAAATGAAAGTTTTTAAGAGGCGATCACAAAAATATACCTTTGCATCTTATATGTTTAAAAATAATTTAGTATAACAAAAGATTAAATAAATAATAATTTTTTATACCTATAAATTTTATACTTGTTGCGCGTACATACATACGTCTCTGATTGCTCAATACCATCTTCTTACGTCAACACTTAACTTGTTTCCATTTTTTAGCTTACTGTCTACGCATTTGGCTTTTTATCCCTACAATTTTATTACACTCATTATCGTTTTAAAATTCATAATCTAACAATTCATTACCTAAAGCCATATACTGCCTTTTTTTTTAATGTTGGGAAATGCATTTACGCACGACGTGTGGGACTCACCGGCGTAATACAGCCAGTACTACCCACTAAAACCCAACAAAACCTTCCCCCGTCTTAATGGGGCGTCGCAGGATCGCTTACGCATTCAACTACGACGCCCCGACGGCAGGTCTGCCGAAGCAGACCACCACAGCCATGGGGTTGCTCCACAGTCCACTCTGCTATCAGAGAAGTACCAGGAGCAACCCGCATGGTACACCGCCCCCCAAAGAGGGCCACCTCCCACCGCCCACCGAAGTGGGCAACCTCCCTGTGCGTTTCTTAGCTTCGCGCCCGGTTGGATTGCCGGGCACTACTGAGCCCCCCCACCACGACAAGGTGAACGCACGTTGGGGGGGAAGCCATATACTGCCTACCACAGCCTACCTAATGTGTTTTACCTAACTTATTATGTTTTAATCATTTTTAACCTATTCAGAGATTTACATATTTTTTGTAATGAGAATTTAAAATTCGCTTTGATATACGATAATTACCTATTAGGTAAGTAGGTACTCAATAACTTTCTTCACGCAGTATCTTATTTATGGATTCAAAGAAAACCACGACATATCCACATCAGATTAGTTACCGAGCTTGAATTTAACATACAATACTGTGGGGAGTGATGGTTTCAGGATAAAAAACCTAATGAGAAGGCCAAGGCTTTCAAATGAAAAAACCGCATCGAAATCTGTCCATCCACACATCACACACACACATCCAGACACACACACATACAGACATCGACGTCAAACTTATAACACCCCTCCTTTTGCGTCGGTTAAAAAACCAACGGAACTATCCCCGTCTTAATGGCCACGACAACGGCTGACCTACCGAAGTAGACCACATCAAACAGGGGATTGTACCGATTGACCGAACTGGTAGTAGACTCATGACGTTCAGTAAAAAATTGTAATAATTTAATGCAGAATAAAATATTTTGATTTGATTGCTCCTTCTGATAACAGAGAAGTACCAGGAGTCACCCACCGCTTCCCAGCCCCTCTCATAGTTACACGCCCGGCTGGATTGCCAGACGCTAATGAACCCCCAACGACAACGTTAACACATCGTGGAGGAACTAACTAGTAACTACTATGACATGATTTATCATTTTTTAAAATATTATTGTTAAAACTTAAAATGCGATCTAAAATCACAAAAAAAATGAAATACATTTGAAACACCAGTAAAAAAAAAACTTTATCCAGAGTGTATGCCTACTTTGTTGTATTAATTTACCTTGACGGCATAATGTAATCAATGGCACGGAAAGATCGACTTTTATTCACATTATGCTTGTGCTCATACATAATTATATTGGCACATGATTTAAGGCAAATTATAGCGAATTAAATATCGTAACAATTCACCCCTTTCACCCCAGTCTTGCTAGTGCCGCCGATGAAAGCTAACCAATATGGATAGACTTCTTTATCTGTGTAAGTACCTAAATACTCCGTCGTATATGTACAAATCTATACATATAATAAAATTGTAACTAAGCCGAATCTGTACATTAAATGTTTTTTGGAAAATCTTATTACAATAGACATTATTATCGATACAGAGGCCGAATCTATAGTTTTTAGAATTTTTGTCTGTCTGTCTGTCTGTTACCGCATCACAGAAAAACCACTGGAGGGATTTTGATGAAATTTGGTATGCTGATAGCTGGTTATTCGGGAAAATATCTCATTTCTGAGAAAAAATACAAAAACTGAATTGTAAGAGTATACTAATATGTAAAACCTAAGAATTTGCTTTTTGGTCATCTGAACGCGGGCGGAGCCGCGGGCAATGCTAGTATGTATTGAAGTGGTTATTTAACTAAACACTACTTTAAAATAAACTAACTTCAATATGGCTTATTAATTAGTACTAATTATATGTCTTAAAACGTAGTTATTTTTTAGGGCACAAAATAAAAATATGGATTTTATTTTTATTTCAAAAAATAGATATGAAGTTTCAAGAACAATTTGGATTTCATATAAAAGAAGTCACTTTTGTAAAATTGTCTGAATATTTGAACGCCTCTAAGGACTCATCTAGTTTGGCAATATCGAGGATTTTGTTTGGTAAGATATGATCACCGCGCAACAACTTAAATACCCATTTACATATTATGATAATATTATTATTAATGTATAAAATAAATGTATTTTTAAGGTCTAGTGAATTTGATATATTGCCAAATATCCACTTAGTAAATAAAAAGATTTTAAAATATTTAAAATTATCATAAGGTATTTCTTATATACATCTTTATTTTTTTTAGCTATTTACAAATTCTAGGTACTTGAAATCGTAACATAAATTTAAATTTTAAAAGTTTCTGAAAAGCAATAACTTTTGAATTATTTCCACAATCTGCGAATTGTGACTATGAGAACTAAACGTTGAGTACCTACTTAGGTAGTGAGCTTTTAAAATATTATAAAATTATTTTAGGGTATTTGTATTTACTTATGAGTTATGTACTTATAAAAACGTTTTATGAATAATAATGAATATTGAGTATATTAATCACTTAAAAGGGTCGCTAAACGAATAAAATCAAATCTATACATATAATAAAATTGTGATTAAGCCGAATCTGTACATTAAATATTTTTTGGAAAATCTTATTGAAATAGACATTGTTATCGACACAGAGGCCGAATTTATAGATTTTAGTTTTTTGTCTGTCTGTCTGTCTGTCTGTTACCACATCACGGAAAAAATACAAAAGAGAAAGAATACAAAAACCGTATTGTAAGAGTATACTAATATGTAATACCTAAGAATTTGGTTTTTGGTCATCTGATGCGGACTTATTTAAGAAATCAAATCCAATAGGAATTACAATGTTATTCGATATTCCGGACGAGCGTGGCGGCGCTATTATGGACAAACGCTGGAGAGAACCATCGACTTGCCACTTCCCCCTTATCCCCTTCGTGCGAGCTATGCCCATGCCCTACATGGCGCTGGTTTATGCGGGTCTTTGGATCGGTACGTTTTAACTCTTATCCTCTATCTAGGTTCTAGAATATTGAAATTGACGACAAATACCTCATGCGATGCAACGGGTATCATATAAAGGAAATGCTAGATTTATATTTTGTTGATTTTGTATTTTGTCAGAGCTATGAGATATTCACATCCTTTTAATGTGATTGCCTTTAAAGCAAAGAAATGTCTATAGTTAATGTATTATAATAATGTATTAAAGTCGTTACTCGTAACATATTACGGTCTCCCATTAGAGGATGACGTGAATTGTTTCTGTGGATAAGTCTCTGCCTTGCCTTTGTCTTTAAAACTTTAGTTGGCTAATAATTCTAGTTTAAATCTATTTAGTTTAAATCTATATAGAATTATCGAATAAGATAATTCTTAATCCTGACAAAAGAATAAGTAAGAGGTATTATAAAGGATCACTTAATACAATCTTTTAATACTGTTACGTTCTATGAGTTCAAGGATCGGAAATTAAAGCACGTCTTGCACTATCGATGTTTTATTTCTCTCGAAAGTGAGTGTCACTGAGAGTGACTTTAGGAGATTCACTAACACACGCAGTATATAAACAGTTCAGGTTAAACTCAGTCACTGAACACTCGAAACACTTCCACTATAACTTCACTTAATTTTTCTTCACTTTTCACTTTTTTTGTACTTCTTCTCAATCTTCTCTTAACTTCGCAATTCAACTGATCTCTCGACAAACTACCGGACTTTTTATATGTATAAACAAAGATCATTTTAGTATTAGAAAATTCGAAACCTTTCTAGTCATTTCGAATGTCTTGTTCCTCTCTCACTCTCACACGGCAATTTACAAATTATTATTATCTGTCCTATTATTATTATTATCTGTCCTTGTCTTAATTCAAAGCTTTTAGTAATTTCAATGCCTATCCCAAATGTTTTGTTCCCCTCTCACTCTTACACACGGCAATTTACGATTAACTATTCATGTCTAAATCTTGAAACTTCTAGTAATTTCGATGCCTCTCTCGAAATGTTTTGACAACTGTCTTAGGATGCATAAAGCATGCTTCAGACGTGTCTTTTTAATTATAAATATTTTTGGTGTAAAGACGTTACCACTCTCCATTACGCGACAATACTTACAATTTTGAATCTTATTATGTATTTAGTTTTAATATTTCGGAAATTTTTCAGGAGCTTTCGGTATTGCATTGGGTTACAAGTACCGCTGGTGCGCGTCAACGTTCACGGTTTGCTATTGGTATATATTTCTAATAGAAAAGAGCTATTGGAACAACCACAGCTACTTATTTGGATTGGTCGCCCTGTTGTTCACTTTTACAGAAGCTAATTGTTATTGGTAGGTATTTGTTTTGTTTTATGGCACGTTCGCTTTTATTATGTGTATAATTTGCTAGATATAAACACTATCTATATAATATCTTAAATATTTTTATATAAACTTACTATTTATCTTATCTTTGCAAGATATATGTTCCCTAGCAATTGCAAACGCCAAACAGTTAATAAGAAGCCTACATTTGAGGGTATACATTGGTAATATAAAAGTACAAAATATATATTTTCAAAATAATATATTTATATTTTATTTCAAAAGAACTTTAAAAAAGCATACAAAAGGTCAGTAAAATACATATAATAGGTACTTGTCTGTAAATGTTTGCTTTTTAGATTTAAGTAACGCTTATGATCACGTCAAGTAGAAGATTCACATCAAATCAATTATGAAATGAGGCGAAGCAACCCTCGTCCTCTTATCATCTTATATTAGAACACAGTGTGTATCACGGAAGCTTCACCTCTTTAGTGTGCTTATTAACGATCTGAATAAAAATTAAGAGTACCTAGGTGGGGATTAAGGAGTCATATAGGATCCACATCTGTCGGTGCATAGGGAACGATTATAGGAAGAGCTGAGGCCTAAAATATAACATTAAGAAACCATAAATAACTAGCGGCTCACGCTCGCTGCGCTCGGGGTTTCCTCTAGGAAGACAAAACAAACCTATCCCACAGGATCCGTACATTTTTCCGGGATAAAAGTAGTCTATGTGTTGTTTCAGACTATAATCTATCTCTGCGCCAAATTTCATTCAGATCCGTTCAGCCGTTCTGGCGTGAAAGAGTAACAAGTATCTATACTCACAAACTTTCACATTTATAATATTAATACAGATGGTATTTCTTGTAGGTAAAGATATAGAGCCCATCGAGAGTAAATTGCTTGGTTCTTAAGTAGGGTATGGGTCACATTTTGTAAATTTAGTTGTTTCGAGACTTTCGGGTCGACACTCGAGAAACTCTTTTACTACGAATTTGAATAAAACTGCACTTATTGCGTTTGCGGAAGAACTTTTTTGCAGACTTTTTGAAAATATCTCTCGTATCCAAACGCCAGAATCGGAAATAATGGACGCCAAACCTAGTAACAATAGCTCGATTACTGTACACAACGAACCCGACGAGTCATTTAAAATTCAAATGAAACAGACAATAAAAAAATAGACAATAGAAAATGTATCTGAAATTCTAGCAAAAACATCAAGGGCAACATTAAAAAACAGATTGCAGTTTTTCGAACCATTTTTAACTATGTATAAGATTTTACTGCCAAAAATAGTGATTATTTAGGCTATACATATATATATGTTAGAATTTAAAACATAAAATATTTTATATATTGGTAAATTCCGCTAAAAAGAATTATTCTGTGAAGACTTGAAGTCCCGAAACGTCCCGGGACTTTGGTCATGGGTGATCTCGTGTCTCGGTACTTTGAATAAAAAATAATACTATTTAAAGATACTAGAAGGTACATATTGCATAAAAAATGATAAAAACTTATTCATAAACAATAAAAACATACTCTTAACACTTAAATAACATTCGATTACTGCATAAAAACTAAGAATTTTCTTTAAAACGTGATTAGAGCAGTCAGATTATAGTTATATAATTACTTATAACATAAAAATAAACAGATATACCTGCATTTTAGGTCCTTAGATGTGTACTTGAATCCCTGTCAGTCAAAGCCGTCGGTACCGTATTGGAACTATTTTATTTTGAAATACCAATTTTTCATACTCTACTTTATGGCTGGTTTAAAGAAAGGAACCGCTGAATGGTTAACGGGATACTCAGTGCAAAATCTCAGCGAACACTGGGTTTTTAACCCTTTCAAGTAAGTATCTATAGTGTATATTTTTAAAAAAGAGTCATATTTCAATAATTTTGAAAATACGAAATACATAATATGATTTCTCTAAAATATAGCATAAACAATATGTTCGACTTTGACAGTCAAAAAATTGAATTTTCATTACAAATCTTAGTGGTAAAGTTTGCTTCTAGAAAACAAATATATTCCACGGAAACCGTACATTTTTCCGGGATAAATACGTAGTATAATGTGCTATTCCAGACTATAATCTATCTGTGTGCCAAATTTCACCCAGATCCGTTCAGCCGTTCTGGTGTGATTGAGAAACAAACAAACATCTAAATATCTAAACTTTCACATTTATAATATTAGTAAGATTAAAATTATATGTGTTTCAGTAATTAAGTAATTATTGATACGTAGTTATTGATATCTAGCAGAACCCGCGGCTTCGCTCGCGCTAAAACTACAAAAAAAAATCTAAAAAGGAAGATTACCTACATAGGTTTCATAGAAACTTTCATCCCCTATTTTACCCCCTTATAGGATGAATTTCGAAAAATGCTAGAACACGTATTTATTTATTTGTATTGAAGAGCATAATACTTACTAAATTTCAAGTAATTCTGATCAGAAATAAATTTTTGGATTGTATTATAACGTGTTTTCCCGTGGGAATGAGATGAGATCTCCCGCTATTAAAAGTAGCCTATGTCACTCCCCTGCTCTCCAACTAGGTATATTCACACCAAAAATCTCGCCAATCCGTCACATCGTTTCGACGTGAAAAATAGACAAACAAACACACTTTCACATTTATAATATTAGTATGGATGCATCATTGTTTTTTTTTTTCAGATTATTTTTAACCGTTGCACAGACAGATTTTCTTATAGTCCACTGGTTTGTGTTTGCATTCGACTTGACCGTGGCTATGTGGATGATGTGGGCGCGAACGAGACATGTTGCCATGTTCTTCTGCGCTCTCTTCCATCTGATGAATAGTAGACTATTCAGTATAGGTTCGTATATTTAAAATAAATAAAAAAGAAATAAATGAAATGGCCTTTAATCACTTATATCATTACAATAGCATAACTTTTTTCCTTACATAATGTAAGTACATCAAATATGATTGATGAATAATGATCAAACTACCTACATACATGCATTAATTTAGATTGATGATGATGATTTTCTCCTAACCGATTCCGGCCACAGCGGCCAATCTCATTGAGACTAGCCAACTGCGCAGGAGATATTATAGTGCAGCGCGTGTACGCGCAGACACAACGTGCACTCTCTATTCCTGTCACTCTCATACTCCGGTGGGACGACCACTCGACACGACCAGTGAGAGTTAAGGCGCAGGACTCGACGTGCTATCCGAGGCACGGGGGTGAAACACCTCCAACTTCCCAACTCCGGGCTGTTACTGAGACTTACTATACAGAAAGACTCAATAACTAAACTTGGCCCGACCCGGGACTCGAACCCAGGACCTCGGAGTGTGCAGCCGTACATGCTAGCCACTACACCACCGAGGCAGTTTCACACTATTTAAATTAAGGTTATCATCACTCAAAAGTGTTTTTCCGTCGCGTCGTTTAAATAACAGATTATTTTAATTAAATACAATAGTTACCTGACATTCTTAATTCATATGTAGGTAACTTTATTATGATTAATTTTCTTTTCTTTTTTAATTATTTAGAATTAAACGAAATGAATGCATATAAAAATTAATATAAAGATATTTACTGTTAATTATATTATAAATGGTAAACTGTCGTGTGCACGCCTATTTAAGTTTCTGACTCGGTAGCAACAGTAATGGCATGATTAAAGATTTATTAGTTTTAAAACAATACGTACAATTAGTAAGTAATTATACACTTGCACTTATACCATACACCTGTGCAAATCCAGGGCAGGCTTCTAGTTTATTTTGTATAAATATTTTTATTTATTGATTAATTTATTCCTAAAATTGGAGCAAATTTCGTTTATGTCTATTTAGATAAGGAATGAGATTTAGAATTTCAGAAATTGAATACAGACGTACCTAGGTGAATTTCATAACAAAGTAGTTGCTATTTTCATCGAAGTATATAATTAACATAGGCAATATAGAATTATAAAGAAGAGTGAGTTAGCAAAATAATAATAAGTACCTAATAAATTATAAATAACCTAATAGTTATAATATTCACAATAATTCTGAGAATAAATATGTATAAAGTTGCAATTTATAACAGGAAAAGAAGATAATGAGACCTCATGTACCTACTGTACTTATTTATGATTTATATGCTTTAAGTGATGATTCTATGGGAAATCGTTTTATAAATGAATTGAAAATATAATTATCAGCGTCATCTAATGTCACTCTTTAACTTATTTACCGATATACATATTAAATAAAAAAGGTCGAGCGGTTTTTAAAAATACAATAAATATTTTTTTAAATAAATTGTTTAATCGAATATGTTATTAAAAAACTTTCTTCTTACAAATTACCTGCTTATGACGTCTTAATTAAAAATGGAAAAATATAAACGTTAAAAATAACGACTTCCATGCACTCAAATGTAAAAAATAAGTAAATGGAGAAAAATAAAAATAATTTTATTGCACCTTCTAAACGGTAATAGTCCAGCATTAGCAAAAGAAAGTGCGTGTCCGGTGGAGAGGAAGGGGTGTAGGAAGCCGCGTTTACTCATTTAAACTTGGCCAGATGCTAAAACTTTAAAGTTTAGAAGGTGCAAAAAAAATATTTTTATTTTTGTATGAAAATAAAAATTTAAGAAATATTATTTTTTCTTGTTACAGATGTTGTTGTTATGATGTAAATAGTATGTTCCCAAAAGGTTTTTGGTAAATTAAAAATGACCCTGTATAATTCTTTAGTCTGAGCTTATTATATGTTAAACATTTCTTGAGTAACTTTACCATCAAACTATACTTACTTACTACAAAGTATGTATTTTATAATACTTTCTTAGATTTACGCGAATATTTGACATTTTAAATAAAACTATCTTTTCGGATTATTTCGCGGATTTATTTTGATTTTTGGTTCCCGACGTTTCGAATGCTTTACAGCATTCATGGTCACGGGAGAGACTGAGGTGTTTCATGTCTCGAAGGTATAGTTGTTACAGACAGCCTACCCACAATTAACAAAAATGAAAATTTCACCAATTACCTTACAATATTTTTTAACTTTATATGTATTTTATCTTTGGTAACTTACGACTACATGAATTTCAGGTTTAATTTTTTAGTTTTTACTTTTTAATATGTTATCATTGTCATTAAACACACATGATATGTTTTACCTATCATGCGCTCCTCATATCACGGTTCTATAATATAAAAATTAATTTTATTTATTTGATAAATATGTACCTAAAATATCATACATATACATGTAATGTCGATAAGAATTCACAATTTAGTAACATGTTATGTTTCTAAATTTTAATCATTAAAAAAATTTAGAAACAAAAATTTTTAGAAAATTTTGTACCTATTACTTTATATCTACTGCAAATTTTTAATATTCTGCTAAACTAGAAGTTACGTAATACCTTTAATCATTATAGCACAAAGCCATTTTACTTTTTTAAAATAAATAGGTAGGTAAATAGGTACTCAAAATGTGTAAAACATAGCAATTTAATTGATTTAAAAAAAAAACTAACTTATCTGACTGATTACCGATTGCATATTTTTAAGGCATGTTTCCATGGGTCTGCTTAGCTACGATGCCATTATTTTATCCTTTCGATTGGCCAAAAATAATCTTGAAATATGCGGAAGAGATAACAGTGAAAGGACGAATTTGCAAATATATATACGGATATATATTTAGTGTATCTAATCACCAACAAAACGCCACGAATATAACAAATAAAGATTCTGTTACGGAAGAGAAAATACACCCTGACAATGAAATCATTACCAACAAAATGGAGAAAATTGAAGAGAGCGAATCAAGTGCAGATGAGAAAGAAGGAGATAAATTGAAGCATACCACAGATGGACGAATGAATTCAATAACATTTGCTTTAATAATATTTCATCTAGTATCTCAAGCATTTCTGCCGTACTCGCATTTTATTACGAAGGTTAGACCATTAAATTCTTAGTAAGCCTTTTGATACCACATTACATGACTTTCTACTTTAATTAAGCATTGCGGGTCAATACAGAGAATTCAATGAAAATCCAGGTAAATAAAAGAATTCATGAAAAATTGCCAAATAGGTACCTACCTATAATTCAACACTTGCGCTAAAGGTTTCAACTTAAATATTTAGCATTACACCTAAAGTTCTAATTTATTCTTAATACCATTACACGCTGCTCTTAGTACGTAGTTTATTTAACTCGTACAACACGGATTTTGTTTTTATTTGAAAAAATCTTTAAAAGAACTACTGGCATACGAGCGATTGTCTTTATATCATAAAAATATGATTTTTTATATCAATGTTAAAAGTATTCAAATTATAAAAAAAAATACATTTTTAATGGAGTTGTGACTTAAGTTTTGTCGAATAACTATAAAACCTCTCGTTTAAAGGAAGTTTATTTGAAAACCAGTAGAAAACCTATTTAACAGCTATTTAAGCTGTTAAATAGGTTATATTTGATATAATGCAGGCATTAATAGACATTTACCTACCTCTTACGAAATGAAGAAATTAACGATCAATCTCTTCAATTTCTCTATAATCCTTAAAAATTTAAGTTACATTTTCACATACTTTAAACATCCAATGCTTTTTGTTTTCATTTAGAATATTTTATATGGTTTTTTTTAAACACAGGGTTACAACAATTGGACTAAAGGACTCTATGGGTATTCATGGGATATGATGGTACATACCTGGGACATTGACTCAGTTGTTATCAAAGTAGTCGATAACAAAAACGGTGAAACATTTTACGTCGATCCTTACGTATATTCTCCCAACGACCGTTGGACCAGACATGGGGACATGGTCTACCAATACGCCAAATGTTTGAAGGACAATATTAGGCGAAAAGATGAGAGTCTATCAACGAATATCTCTATTTACATAGATGTTTGGTGTTCAATGAATGGTAGGTTCACTCAACGCATGTTCGACCCTAAGGTGGATTTGTTAAACATATCCTGGTCAGCGTTTGAGCCGGTGTCTTATTTAATGCCGCTACTGGATGAAGCGTTAGAATGGCGTAGTATTTTACAACAGATAAAGGAAGACGTTCACTCTTGGAACAACTATAGTGATGTTATATTTATTGCTGATTTCCCAGGTACGTATTATTATATTTTATATTGAATCGAATTATTTTTTTGAGATTTTGAAGAAAATATTTTTTTTTTAAATAACTTTTAAAAATAATCTGAGATTTTTATTTAATTGTTGCAATAAAATATTCTTAGTGACATCAATTCTACTTTATACTTTAGTTCTCGAGTCCCGAATTCTCTATTCTACTGACATTCTAAGCGTCCTTGCACAACACAAAGTACCTTGTTTTTTGCATTCTTTTTCGGTGTATGGCGCATTGCATTGGAACAGACTCCCCTAAGATATCCAACTAAGTTCCTCTATCACTTCCTTTAAAAAGAAATTTTAAAAACAGCACTTTCTCACTCAGGTTTCTTATTCCACGATTATCTTTTTTATTATTATATATTATATATAGATATGTATTTGTGTATGTAGTAGTATAAATAATAGTAAGTAGGCGAGTTCTTTTTTGTTGTATCATATTTTCTACATAAAAAAGTAAAAACTTGAATAAATACAAAAAAAGTAAAATCTTTGTGTCCGACCGGTGTTCGAACCCGGACATAAGACCCAGGCATAAGACTAATCTAGATCGATTTTTCGCCCCCGAAAACTCTCACATGCCAAATTTCAGAGAAATCGTTAAAGCCGTTTTCGAGATCGCCGGTATAAATAAATATACAACAATTACTCGTTTAAATATATATGTATTTTATATAATATTTATTTAACTATTTATATTTGAGTATTTAAATATCATGTAGGTACTTTATTATAACTGCTCAATTTTAGCCTGCTTCATAACACTATTTCTCATTACCAAAGGTCGGCTGGAAGAGATTTCTTCTAGATAATATAAGTTCACCTTTGCCATTAAATTTCATTGTATTTTAATTACTGTATTTTATTTAAGTGCAATAAAGAATAGTATATAAAGCAGTATGTAACTAGTTGTTAGTAGGTATACAGGTGAAACAAATCGATGGGACGTAGAAGAAAAGTACCTACCTTAAATATTGAAGTTATCAAGATTTACTTAAAAGAAACATTTCTATTTTCTATATATCTTAATATGTATATATAATTCTTCTGTACTGTGCGTCTCTTATAGGCTGCAAGTCCTGAGTCATCTTTTAAAATACGCGACATGGTTCTAGGTGCTATCTTCATCACCCGTGATAAAATATTTTGCTTTCGGACAGGATTTCTTTGAATTCTTTCCCTTACTGCTTTAATCACCTTTTTCGTACGAACTCTACGTGGATGGCCAGATTTTTTTCTGTCACAAACAAAGGAGGTTTCATGTAGCCTGGTACACAAAAATTTGACTAATACCAAGCGTATGGAGAGTTTTAAATATTTGTATTTCGCTCCATACCTACTTTATGTAATGCAATCACAGCGATTCGGTTCTCGTTATAACCCCACTCTATTTTATTATCACTTAATATTTTACAATGTAGGTATTGGCGCGAAAATGAGAAAAGTGAAAACAATGATCAATCATATGAAAATGACAGGTTCCAAATTCAAATGTAATACCTATTTTGTTTATTTTTTATTGTATCAGTATTTATGGCCAGACTATGTATATATATAGGATATCCTATTTAGCATTTTTATCTGGTTCGATTCCCGGTTCAGGTAATCTTTAAAACAAAAATTAAATAAAGTTATTATTATTTTTAAATTAAAGAAATTTTTCCTTTGAGTAAATTTTACTTTTCTTCCATGTCCCATCCATTTGTTCCACCCTGTTTATCTACATCCAATTAACATACAATGTGATACAATCAAGAAGTATCTATATAATATAATTACGAGGTAAATAAATATACGTAATTGTTAGCTTATATAATAAATAATATTGTATAAGCTGTTTAATAAACGAACTGCAACTGTGCAGATGTTTTGAGTAGATTAAAGAAATAGGACCTATGCAAAAACAGAAATCCTTAAAAATAGAAAAATATCCAGAAATATTATTTTCCTATTCGTATTCAACCCTTTTTAACGTCCCACTGCTGGGGGTGGGCCTCCCTTCAGTACGAGGGGGATCAGCCCATAGTCCACCACGCTGGCCGAGTGCGGGTTGGCGGACTTCACATGTCTTTCGAAAACTTGCTAGGTTCTATCAGACATGCAGGTTTTCTCACAAGGTTTTCCTTCACCGAAAGACACGTGGTAATGATGTTGGAAATGATTCACCAATGAAAATATCAGAGGTGAGAGACCTGGGATTTGAACCCGATTCACTCAGTTTCCCAAGCGAGCGAGTTACAACCGGACTACCACTGCCTATCATAAATATTTACACATTATAGTTTCGCATATACATTAAGTAAAATTTCCTAAAAAAAAAACTTTATATAGTTTTTTTTTCAGGTTATGTACAAGAGAAATTCATTCCAGTTGAATTATTTAATGTAACAATGACTATGTTGGATGGCATAGTGGCATATGAGCCTGAGATTACTACGGAGTTAAACGGACAATCGTATCGTTTGAGAAAAGGGAACATAATAAAGCTACATTCTGGAACATTCCATAAGATTCTAAATATTGGGACAACACCAGCCTACTACATGTACACATTCGCTAATAGCACTGAAGCAACTAATTTTGTTACTCCATCCCCAAAACCAAAGCTGCCAATAGACCAAGAGCTAACGAGACGATTTTTCAATATGATAACATTCGCTAAATTAGTCTTAACAAATACATATGAAATGTTGTTTAAATTCAAGCATTGTTCTTAGTTTATTTATAAAAACTGGTCCTTTCTAGTATTTATAACCTAGACTTTTTGAAATTTATTTAAGATTACATTCGTATTAAATATTTGTTTTATGTGTCATATATAGTATTTTATATTTATTTAAAGTTACCGTATTAAATGTAAAAATATTTTAAGACGTTCATTTAAAAGTCTGTTATATAAACTGTTCATTCGATTGTGTGCTTCCTAATTTTTTACTGTGATATTTTGTTAATATTTTTAACTGAATTAAACAGAGCTAACTACTTAGGTATGCAACAATATAAGAGAAGCTTGATTCAACCAGCGTGACGTGCGTTCTTTGGATTAATCCTACTGCAAAACATATTTTAACATACAAATAGAATACCACTTGTATCTACCATTAGGTATCAAGCACTGCTTTTTACACATCTCAAGATAATTAAATAGTTGGGTAGTTATACTTTTCCTTATATAATTTATTCACAGTTTGTGATTGCTAAAAAGTAATAAATATAAATTTTGCATTATCATTATCAAATTATAGTGGATTAAACTTTTTTGGTTTATTGGAACTTATACATGTGTTTAGTTACCAAGGTACCAAATACAATATAAGTTTTTTTTTAATTTCTCGTATAATATCCATAGCCTTAACAATGTACACATTATACAAAAGTAATGAAGCCAAATCTAAACAGGAAATATTTAAAAAAAAAATGACTGTATCGTACCTACTTATTGTGTAAAGAGTAAAGGCCCGAAAACAATTGTTGTTGAAATTTTTGTCTGTTTATCTGTATATCTACATAGATAACTTTTACTCTAGGAAAATATTTCATTCCCACGGGAAAACTCAACAAATGATTTTGTCGAATCTCCCTTAGAAATTTATATGGTAAATTGCTGGCTAAACCTTAAGAGTTACATCAAAACAATGTATGTACTAGAAAACTGTAAGTTTTAAAAAGGTCTCTAGAGAGAGCTCCGCCAAAGCATGTCTTACTCTAAGATACCGATCTATGTGGTGGACCCCTCACTCTTTTTCCAGGCAAAATATATTTTTTAAGTAATAAAACATTATTAATAAACACGACCCAGGGTGATTGTCGCCATAAATTAGCTCCAGGCTATCTTTACAGATTTCTAAATTTAATTACGGATTTTAATAATAACTTTATGTTTATTGCTTTAACTTTTTCTATAAATTTTCCTTCATGGCCAGGCCAGAGGACCCTTGCTCCCCCTTCTCAACGCCCATGCTAATGACAAAAGTTAACCTATCTTTTCACATGTGTTGATATACATATGCACCTATCATGGACGAATTAGAGACTAATTCGTTCATGGCACCTATGTATAGCGGGAATTATAGTAAGTGACAATGCATGGCTAAATACAAGTACAAATGGTAACTTAAAATTAGATTCGAAAAAATATTGCACTTTTAGAATCGCCTATTGTTTGACCTGTAGTCTGTAGACCGTATGTTGTTTCCATGTGTAATATTTCTCTGTCTGTTGTCTTGTAACTAACCGGCTTTACCGATTTTGATGATTCATACGTTGTATTTTTGTCTTGGTAACGCAAGTGTTATAGGTTTCATGAATATTATAAAAAAATAAAATGACGGATCTCAAGTGCCAATTTATGTGTCTATAAAAAATCTTCGAAGCCCATCGAGTGGGGTATCAAAATCAAGGTTTTTAAGAGACGATCACAAATTTATATACTACGTTTTTTATTATTTAACTTTTTAAGAAACGATCACAAATTTATACATTTATAAGTAATTTGAGATAAGAAATTGTTAAATAAAATTACAAATATCTACATGGCCAAAACTAGAAATCTGTAAAAAAACAATTCAATAATAAAAAGAAAAAAAATACCGGTACCCCTAAAATGCTAACAAAAACGAAAGGAACTATTAGAAAAATAGTATTATGCAGTTCCTTTTTTACGCATTCGGGTCTTGTTATTTTTATAATTTAATTACAATTATTCCATTAATATGTAGATTTTTTTAAATAAATAAATTCATAATTAAAACTATAAAGTATTTTTTATCCTTAGCCCTTTTTTTAAACTTTAATTTATTTATTTATTCATTTCAAACATTTAGCATATGTGTAACAAAAACAACTTAACGATAATAACTATATTATTCTAAAACTGTGTCGTTTTAGTTTGGTTTGTTTGTTGCATATTATATATTAATTGAAAAAAACATTACAGAACGAATAAAATTTTAAGTCTGTGGTCCTGCTGCGGGAAACTGTCAAATAGTTTCTATAAAAATGACATTGTGGGGCATGGTTGGTCGGCGAGTTGAGTAGATTACTGATACAGTGTCATAAGTGGCGTGATTATGGCATGAGGCGAAAACTGAGTTCATTCATCGTTTCGTCTCAACGCTGTGACGAGTGAATTAAACTCGGGCTCTGGCCGACGCCTCGTCACCGCGAATATATAATCAATGTTTAACCATTCCACGTCCATAACTAGAATTTAGTGCCTCATCGGCGGTACGCCTTGCCGCCCCTTGGAATATTGACATTTTAGCCATCTGTGATATAACACCTAAGTATCTTGTTAACAGTTTTTAGGTTAATCCTTTGCCGGTGATATCAGTGCAACGGTTTAATTATTCTAGACTCAGACTGTGAATATTGTACTTTAGTGATTAATTTTTTACGGTATACGGATACCATGGAGACGGCGATGAGTTACGACCTGGATATCACGCCAAATTATTCGTACATTTTCGAATTTGAAAACGAATTTATTCACCAAAATTCCAGGAAATGGATGACTGAAAACTGGACTGTAGCTTTCTATTATGTTGGGGTCTACATGGCATTTATTTTCGGAGGTCAACATTACATGCAAAATCGCCCTAGGTAAGTTATATACCTACTTTGTTTTATTACTTAATTAAAAATATCTCAATTTGTTTACTTTCTACTTTCTAACACTTTCTACTCTACTCTTAACTTATAAAATTATTCTCTGAAAAACTAAATTGTGCATTACTCTAAAGTTTAATTTAGTATCTCATTAATTCGAAAATATAATGTACTTTAACCTTCATTTTTATACGAATTATTATTATTTATATTTGAAAAAAAAGAAACTTTATTTATTATAAATGGGTATATAATAAATTAATTTAAAATGTTCATTGTCTATTATTCACAGTGCCTATGAATTGTAATTTTTATTCATGAAATAATAATATAATTAATATAGATTAAAATATTTCTTAAATTGTTTTTTTTAATCATACTCAATATTTTGGACGAACACATTAAAACACATAAATGTTAATTATATAAATGATTTTTTTTCGCATCATATACTTAATGCAATCTTTGTTTACATTTTTTAATAAAATCATTTTGTTTCAAAAATTATTTTTTAAGTTACCAAAAAAATTACACTTAACTATCACTGACATAAACTTTCTAATCAAACTTGATTATGACTATATCTATAGTTGGCTGCGATTTAGGATTGGGGACTCTGCCCCTAGCGGAGTGGGTGGTATTTCTGGATAAGGGACGTGATAGGAAGTCGAAATGTTAAATAAAAATTTTCCGCGAACATATGAGTAAAAATTTATTGAGACTTAAAGTTACAACATTTCCATACATTATTTTGACATTACTACCATTTAGACACTTGGAGTCAAAACGTCACTTTCAATTGTCAAAATAATCTCCAGATGATTGTCTTTATTTGTACTTTGCGTGAAATTCAAATTTTCTAGTTTTCTAGTCATTTATGGCACTCGCCGGCCGCTACCGCGGCACGCTCGCTTCGCTCGCTCGGCTCGTGCGTTGTGGCAACTGTTCTAACCTAACCTAACCAAGATATGAGGAATAATAAATAAATAATCTTAAATGTTCTAACCTAACCTAACCCAGATATGAGGAATAATAAATAAATAATCTTAAATGTTCTAACCTAACCTAACCCAGATATGAGGAATAATAAATAAATAATCTTAAATGTTCTAACCTAACCTAACCAAGATATGACGAATAATAAATAAATAACCTATGTCTTAAACTAACCACGATGTCGCAAAATAAAAACCAAAAGTAAATAATACATTTAGATTTTAAAAATAGTCTACTCACGTTTATAAATTGTTTACACTAACACTATGAACACTTAAAACTATAAAAATAATATTAAAACAAAAACAAGAAACGAAAGTATATAAAAATTAACAAAAACTAATAACTAATGGAAAATACACAGAGTACAGAGTCACAAATTATGAAACTTCGCGGTATTTTAAGAACACCCGCCAATAATACTGAAAAATATTCACAGATAAAAAAATGTTTTTTTTTTTTTACTAAATGTACAATTGTAAAACAATATATTTTACATAAATCAGATAAAAAATCATAAATGTATTTATGAAATGAAAATAATATTTTTCTTTTTATTTATTTATTTATTAATATTAATATTTTACCAACAGAAAAAGCAAAAATAATCAAATATAATCTGTTGTCATTTAAGCGGTAATATAAAACAAAGTGTCAGTTTTGCTTTTGTCAAAATGTAAGATCGTTTTGTTTGTGTTGTGAAATTATTAAAATATTAAATACAATAAAGCATTAATTGTTGTGAAAATGTGTAATGTACATAAAAAAAGATGCGTACTATTCGTTAAAGGTATGTTTATCTGTTGTAATCACTTATTTAGGTAAAGAAATGTATGGAAATGTGTTAGATATGTTATAACTTTAAGTCTCAATAACTTTTTACTCGTACGTTTCCTCCAAATATTTTTAATATATTTTGACTCTCTGTCACCTCCCCTATCTAAAAATACCACCCACTCCGAATGGTGGTAAAGAAATATATGAAAATGTATGGAAATGTTGTAACTTTAAGTCTCAATAACTTTTTACTCATACGTTCGCGGACAATTTTTATTTAACATTTCGACTCCCTATCACGTCCCTTATCCAGAAATACCACCCACTCCGCTAGGGGCAAAGTCCCCAATCCTGAATTTGTGCCCTATAGTTTGCAGTTATATCTCACTACTATTGTCCAAATCGAATTCCATAAAAATAAGCTTTATGAATAAAGGAAAATGTTGTCTGAATTGTTTAAAAAACATGAAATATATAACATTACACTAATTAACATAACAGCATTAATTTGCATTAATCCTGTTATTAACATAATAAAATCAAATAATAAATATAAACATAACAGACAGGTAGATGTAGTAAGTTCTTACTGTGTAGATCAAAATGACAGCATATCAGATTAATATTTTTCATTTCTCATTTGTAAAAGTATATAGTAATAGTGTTGCTTAGTAAGTGGTTTTTAAATAATAGCAAACTAAATTAAAATAATTATCCCTTAATTAACTTTAACTTTTTAAATTACACATAGAACAATTATATAGCTTAAATAATTAACACTATATTTTATATTTTCTTTATGGTTATAAATATAATAATGGCAACACTAAATATAGATTACTAATTAATATTTTAAAATTGTAATAATTATAAAAATAATAGCAAAAATTAAATAAATAATATTCCATATTCAATTATAATTAAAATTATAAAAATGTTTAAAGTTAAAAAATATTGTAATGTAATTGGTGCAATTTTCATTTTGTTAATTGTGGGTAGGCTGTCTGTAACAACTATACCTCCAAGACATGTAACACCTCAGTCTCTCCCGTGACCATGGATGCTGTAAAGCATTCGAAACGTCGGGAAACAAAAATGCAAATAAATCCGCGACAAAATCCGAAAAGATAGTTTTATTTAAAATGTCAAATATTCGCGTAAATCTAAGAAAGTATAAAAAAAAACATATTTTGAACCAAACATTTTATTGTGCAAGCAATAATTAATCAAATTAATCTGGACTATATATATCTATGTATTCAAAAATTAAAAAAAACAACTGTATGTAAATACTCTGTGTATATCAGACTATAATTTATTTTTTAGTTCTCTTTGTACTCAGTTGGTTCTTTTTGCTTTTGTAATTGGTTTTTATTTACAACTTTATAGTTTTGCTCAATTAAACATTTTGAGTTTTGTTGCACACTTTCTTGCCCTGAATTAACTAGTTTTAAACATATTTGTAGGTATATATTTTTGTAATGGCCGCCTAAAAACCTGTATTTTGATACCTCACTCGATCGATTTGGATAACATTTTGTTTTCAGGACAAATTAGCACCTCAGATCCACCATTTTGATTTTTAAAGATATCTATTTACTCTATAACACTCGCGTTATCAAGACGAATCTAATGGCGTATTCAGAATAATCAAAATCGGCCCACGCGTTTAGTCACTAGAATTCCACAAAGGAACAAACATACATACATAGGCTGATATAAACTTAACTTTACCTTCCTTTGGGTTGCAGTTGAGTAATAAAATAGTGTTTTATATGTCCAATTAATTTCAGTTTTATAAAACTCACTAAAATTATGATTATAATATTAACGAATAATACAATGAATATTAAACACAACAGATTTAATTAGATAAATATGATTGAATAACCCAAATTAATAAAACCAAAATAAATAAAATTAATTATGGCATTTACAATTACATATCTACAATAGTGGAGAGGGTGAAAATACAAAAAATATATTTGTTTATGTCATAATATATTACATATGTAGACTTTAAGATTCTTTACTAGAAATGAAACATAGATAAGCTTTAATATTCTTTTTTTAATCTTTATTTAAAGGATTTGTTCATATTACTATATTAATATATTATTTATACGAGTATTAATATTTTGATATTCAAAATAGAAGTATTGCATGAACTTTTTATACTGTAATTTATGTACTACTAGCAGAACCCGCGGCTTCGCTCGCGCAAAAGCTACAAAGAATATCTAAAAAGGTAGTTTCATGTTAAATTTCATCCCCTATTTTACCCCCTTATAGAATGAATTACAAAAAATTCTAAAACACGTATTTATTTAATTTTATTAAAGACCATTAATACCAAGATTCAAGTAATTCTGATCATACATATGTTTGGTTTGTATTATAACGTGTTTTTCCATGAGAATCAGATAATCTCCTGCGGTAAAAAATAGCCTATGTCACTCTCCAGCCCTTCAACTATCACGCCAATAAGTCTCTCCGTTTCGAAGTGAAAGAAGGACAAACAAACAAATAAACACACTTTCACATTTATAATATTACTATGGATATACTATGGTAGTGGGTGGAAGTGATACGGTAATAATTTTTTATTTGCTGCCAATTAAACAAAATTGATCATATTCAGATAATAATTGGTATCGTCCGACACGTATGGTATGTTACCCTCGCTTCTCTCGAATGCGTCCCTAGGTACGCGGATTTTGCTCACAATTTATTTGGTACATATTTATAATATGTATGTATTTAAAAGTTATATATGTATGTGTAGTGTATCAACTATCTGGTACCCATAACACGAGCCTCGTAGCTAACCATGGAACTAGATGGTGCTGTGTTTTAATGTCCCTAATCCCTATACATTTATTTATTTATTTATAATTTCATGGGTTTTATTTTTTTTCTAAAATAGTTACTCCTTATAACATCAACTATCTGCCAGTGAAGGTCCAGTTAAAATCGGTCTAGCCGTTCTGGATATTAGTCGGAACAAACAGATAGACAGACAGGCAAAATTTTTAACAATTGTTTGTCTTATTAGTACCGTATACATATACCTTATATGCGTTTAGTAAAAAGCTGACATTACAAACAGACATTTCAATTTTATTTATCTGTGTAGATACTAGATAGTATATCATGTCCTTGACAATGACGGCTATAGCATAATGATAATAATTTAATGTAACTGAATTTGTGACTTCAAT